ACCAAAAATGCTGCGTTCAAAGTGTTCGCTATCCACTCTCCCGTGGGTCTGGGCGGGTTTGCTTCCAGTCCGGAGGGAAGGTGTTGTGTTACCACCCCCCTCCGCCCTAGGAGCGGATTTCTCATGGTCGCATAGCTAAAATCATCGGCATGGGTTTTAACTGCCACCCAAGCCTCATATCCATTATTGAATTATTGGCAACAAGTAATCATGTTACGACGTCATTACTCCCGTTGTGTTGGGAGTCATGCGGTCGGCGGGGTTTTTTAGCTTTGGGAGAACAGTACCTTCCTACTAGTCCGCCGCAAAACCTCATGTTGACGTCCCCAAGTTTCCTCGGAGACGCTCCGCTTTTGCAGACGGATATTTCATTACTTTGCGGGCCTCACAGTGGGTGCTGGCAGGTCGCATGTGGCCCTCCGTGGGCCGTATGTTGTGCAGGCCTGCCTAACCCATTAGGTCTTCAGATAGCTGTTAACATGCTCAAGTAATAAGATGGTCCTAGCTTGGATTATTTATTAAATATTAAGTTAATCAGTAAATAAAAACATTAAAAAGGCCAGTACTTTAATCATGATTGTTAGATCACAAAAAAAAGTATTTCTTCCATTTTTGTATGTACCATACCTTTCTAAAATTTCCTACTATAATATTCTAATTTTGTTTATAGGGCTATAAATTCTTTTGTTAATAATAAGAAACTTCTTTAGGAAGCAATGTTAATATTTTTTTCTATGTGCTTTCAATATTGGTTTAAAATGTCATTGAATTAATTCTGTTCTGAAGTCAATTAATTTCATATGGTTTTTCTTTCTTCCTGTTTCACTATCTAAATAATGTTACATCATAACAACTTAGGATATTACATGGCAGCAGAGATTTTTTTTTTTACCCTATTCATTTTTGTGAGAAGGAGTAACTTAATGTTCTCTACAATTTTTAGGGAGCATTGTCTAGAAGGCTTGTGGGTGCAAGCTAGTCAAGACTTAGTTTGAAGGATACAAGTCATCACAGACCAGGTCTAGAAATCCCAGAGCTTTCAACATTGAAGAGCTGATGGTTCCAGAACAAGCTTGATGTTACTTACAGACCAGTATCTGATATTTGAACGGCATTTAAACTTAAAATGAATTTTTTTCCATTAATTTGGGATTCATCCCAGTTCATTGCCTTAGTTGGTGATTTAATTAGTAAAATTTAAGTAAACAATTTTTGCTGATTGATATAGTTTTTAATATGATGTAGAACGACATGTTCTAGTGGCTGTAAAAAGACTGTCATATGCTATTACTTGAGGTTATGGACAATATATATCAATGTAGTTTAGTTTAGTCTATTTTTAGTACCAGCAATTTTATAGAGTATAATATTATATCATTTCATAAATTGTATAGCCAGTTTTTATTTTCTTAAGATTAAAAAGTAATTATAATTAATTTTAAAAATCACTTCTACCAAGTCTGCAATTAAGGCTGGGACATAATTAAATTTTAAAAATTGTCGTACATGTCAGTAAGTAAGATCTTTTTAACTGGACTCTAAATAGTTTTTCCTTGAAATGTTTACTTCTACTGAGACAGCATTTCTTTAAACATCATTGAATGATAAACCAAACATGATTTTATTGGTATGGTAAAGATCTTCATACAGAAATGAACATTTTAAAATATGTTTTACTTATATTTTCATTTACTCATGATAATTTGCTCTTGTCAAGCCTAGGGATAAGTTATCATGATCAGCTCAGCTTCCTACTAAATTTATGTGAGTGAAAATGAGTGTTATAAAACAATAGCTAATGACGTGAAGAAAAACAATCAAAATGTAATGTGATATATTTCTTGTTTTTAAACACAAGTAGAACGTAGATCTTTAATAATTTAGTAACTATCTTGTTATGGTAATGACTTTTAACAGCTGACTGAATGATTTGTTACTATAACAGACTGATCACAAGTATTGACTGAATGATTTGTTACTATAACAGACTGATCACAAGTATTGACTGAATGACAGACAAGCTGACAAAAAATGATGAGTTTTCCAGTGATTATTATCTCACAAAAGAATGCCTACAATTTGAATCTGTAAAACGTAAAACTTCACCATCTTCTATTTCCTGCCAACGGGTTTTATGAAAACTATTTTTATTCAAAGCTTGTACTTTCTTGTAAAAATAAATTTTGATCCCTTATAACAATAATGCAACTTTTGGTACATAGCCTTGGTAACCATTCTATTGCTATTATAAACAATTGTGAACATCGAAATTATTTTGTAAATGTAAGTTTAAAAATAACTGTTTCATAGCTAGGCCCTTTTAGGTAGTAATGTTTGCGGAGCTTTTTTTTAAATCATTTTTTTATACATTTAACTTTGAGAGACCAGATCATTGTTCTACTTTAGGTATAAGACAATTTGGAATTTATTTATAACTAAGGAAATTTAATAATTTCTTTATTTATTTAAGTAAATAGCAAATATTTTTAAATTATAGAATAGTACTCTAAAAATATTATCTGTTAGCTTTTAGTTTTTCTTTTTAGTATTATTTGATGATTCCAAGGTGGCACAGAATTATTAAATCTCAAAATGACATTGTGGCTTATTTCAGGTCTATATCTGTACAAATATTTTCAGCAACTTTATTATATTTTTAGGCAAGCAAAATAACTAATAACTAAAGTAACAAAAAGATGTAATTTTTAAAAATTATATTATTTATTGATTGATTAATTAAAGTAAGAATTAAAAAAAACTCCAGCATACTTTTAATCATGGTTTATGATTTCAAATATTGGATTTTTTTTTTTTTTTACATTGATTACTTTATAGAAGTATGATATTTTCAAAAATCCTTTTTGTGATAAAGAGGACAAAGAGCCTGTGGTTCTGAGATAATGTATTTCTTATCAAATATTATAAGGATCTGAATAAACATCTGTATCTCTCTCAATAAACCCAATCAACTAAGAATTTTCACATTTTCCCATCACTTTATAAAATTTGTCAAAGAGTATCAAAGCTTTGTAAAATTCACTTGCGCAAATATTTTTATGGTATGCTTACATGTTATTTTATATGCATTTATTAAGAACAGCCTACTATCATTTTACCTAATATTTGTTAGGGTAATGTTTATTTTAAGTTGAATTTGTTGCTTTCTTAAACTCTACTATTGCTTTATTTGTCTAATGCATTATGTGAAGTATTTTTTTTATTCTGTAGCTGTGGCGTAAAGGATTGAAGATTTTCATCAAAGATTTTCTGATAATTTTATGCTCCGTTGGCCAAATATTTTATGTAATTGTTGCGCTTATGTTATATTCAAGTTGTGTAAAAAAAAAAGAAAAATCGCTATATTAAGAATGAAGTTTCTCCACAAAATACTCAGGCAAGATGCACAATTGTTTTTACAAAATGAAGCCTTCTAGTCTTTTTTTCTTTACATATGATTAACCATTTTGTGTAGCCTGTGATAAAATTATAATAATTAAATTACTTATCTGAAACATGTCTTAACCATAGAAACACTGGCATAGGCAGGGGAATGCCGATGGGGCAGTCCGCCCAGGGCAGCACTTTTTTCTTAAATGAAGGGGCAGCTTTTTCAGCAAACTGCAGAGTTTTTTCATGGAAGTGGGTGGCAAAAATTTTGACCCACCCTGGGCGGCTCTGACCATGGCTACGCCACTGCATAGGAACAAAACGATGTCTAGATCATCTTGAAAATTCAATTTTTTTTTCAACTTTAAGTATTTTCTTCTTTTTTCAAAAAAGTTTTTACACATGTCTGTTTATAGAAATATTCATACTTATCTTAAACACTCCCAAACTCCTGTGATATTGAAATTTTAATTGAGATTTTTCTTTTCTTTTAACACTTTAAAAATAAAACTTTTTATAGCAGACAGAAATACTAATGAAAAAATTGTACATTAGTTATGTCAAATCCTTGTTTTAACTCAGTTTATATGCAGCTATTATACTAACTTGTATAATGAATGAACATTTGATAGAAAAGTAGTATGGCTGAATTACTGAATCTTTTGTTTTAAAATCTTATTAAAAGATTTTTTTTGGATTAAGGTACCAGGTACTGGGGGATGATAAAATAGTTGACCAACAAGTGTCATATTTTTTCTTCTGTGCTGTAATCTTTAAAGTAAATATTTTGTATCTTAAAATGAAGCAATATGATCACCTTCTGCCTTAATATTTTTTTAAACTAATGTGATTAATGTTCCTAATATTGGGATATTGACCATGACCCACTTTGTGATAAAAGGGTAGACAATTTTGCCTACCCTTTTTAACATGTTAGAATAATTAAATTATTTACATTACATAGCAAAAAATAATTAATTTTAATTGTATACACTTTATTAAAACTAGCTGAATAGATATTTTATACATTATTTTTAAATTAGAATTTAGATATTCTAAAACCAGAATTGTTTAGCCAGTGGAGAATGATATAAAATCAAGTGTAAAAAGTCATTATGTGAAATCTCCAAAATCACTTTAAAACATTTTCAGAAAATGTGTTTGCCATACATAGAAGCTGACAGTAAGTTTTTCTTCCATGTATATTATTACTTTCAAGCTAATATAATTTTGTTTTTTAAATCCTTATTATTATTATAACTCTTTATTTTTTTAATTATCTTGTTCTATCATGTAAATTGTTTTAAACTTTTGAATTTATTTATTTTTTAAATTACTGCTTTGTGGTAAGTCTGTAAATTTACAAAGCATATGCTGTCCTTATGTATCCTTAGTTTTATTAGGCTGTTTTGATCTTTTGTAAAACTATACAACAAATATTGGCATCTGTCAATGATAAAAAAGGAAGTTTTAAATAAGAGTTGTTTTTTCTTTCTTGTCTTAGGAACAAAAAATGTGGCTATGTGTTACATACAAATACCATAAAATTTAAAATACCAAGAACAAAGCGTTGCACAAAAACTAAACTGGTTGCACAAAAACTAAACTCGTGAAAATGTTTATGTATTTTATTTAAAGCAGAAATGAAATTAAGCAAAAAATTCTCAAACTTTTTGTGCCAATGATCTTGTCTTTCCAAAAAAGCAAACTGAACCAAACAATATATTAAAATTTATCATCCCAGATTTAAGAAAATAGTATGGCTTTTTAAATGTTAATTTTGAAGGCTTGTGCAATCATCATGTTGAGATGAAAATATAACCTTTGCCCTTTTTAAAAATTTATTTTAATAACAGCAGTTATTTTCTTCACAAATATTGTGGTATAAGAAATGTTAATACTGTATCCGTTTAACAACTGTATATAAACAAATTTTTAAAACTTATCACAGTAAAATAATTGAAGTTTTGTGTTAGCTGCCACTTAAGTGCTAAATGCAGATAATTCAAACTTATTTGTTACATTTTAAAAAATTTAATTTTCTTAAGTAATGAGATGCATGAGCAAGGATTTATTTGGTTAATATAAAATTGGATAGTATGTCCTCATTGTGAATCTTTAGATTCCTAATCAGAACAGTTAAGCAAACGTTACCAAAGTTAAACTATTTATTTTAAGAGAAACAATTTTTAAAATAAGTAGTATCAGTTGTATTCAACAATGATTTCGTTATTTTACAAGTGGCTTTAAGTAATACACAAATAATAAGCTTTAGTCAGGTATATATGTAACCTGTATTCCCAACTAAATTATTCCAAACAAATAATGCATCTGGTTAAATACAAATTATATTAATAATAATTCCATCAACTTATGATAACAATAACATTGTATAATGTCTAAATTCTTTCTAATGTTATGCAGACATGCCAACCTGTTCAGTTTACTTCTACATTGCACAGTTTACCCATACTTTTTCAGGTTTACATCTACTTTGTATAGGTTTTAGGCATTTTAAAAGGTTTACTACAGTTTTTCAAGGATTTATAAAAAAAATAAAAAAAATAAATGTATTTTGTGCTCACGGCACAATATATTCATCGTAGGTCAAAAGGTAGCTGAAATGCTATTGGTCTATTCAAAATGTCCTTTGGCTTATGTTAATGGTAGGCTGTCTCATCATAGGACTTAGAATCTGAGCAATGTTCGGCCCATATCTACATAATATACCAGTAGCAATTAAGGGAATCCTTACTATAATGCCTACTTTGAGAAATAAACCCTATTGCAAATCCATTTGTACAATAATTGTAGCAAAAACTGCAATGTCAGTAAAGGTTCTTTTACTTTCTGTAAAATGCATTTAATATCACTATAACAATAGTTTTTTTTAATTAGTAATTATGTATATTACAAGTCTTCTGCAACGGCATGAGTAAATTTAGCGTGTTAACACTAAACTTTCTTAAGCGGGTAAAGTTGAAATAAGACACGCACTAGGGTCGTTTCTTAAAAGTAAGCGGGTGACCAAATATCCTGGCATTATACATGCTTTAATCAATCAGATCATCACATGCATTTTACAAAATAGACATTTAATGGCTTGCCTCGGGCAAGTATGAAATTAAAAGCACATTTTGAAACATGGTTGCTCTAACAAAACTAGGAGCCAATGAAGAGAGATTCTACCACTAATAAATCCTTATTTTCTCAGCCCCATCATGACCATGTATATGATCTTTTGGGAAAAGTTACAAGGACAGAGATCTAATTGAAAATTGCATTGCATTCACATCTAGTTTCCATGGCAAAAATAAATAACATTTTTGGGGTTCAAACTAATCAAGACAAGGCAAAGATTGCATGCATTCAAAAAAACAAAATATGTTTAATTAAATAAAAGTGAAAAGAAGTTATAAATTATCCTTTTTTTAACTCCAGTTTTTGGTGGTGTTGTGCAGTTTGGTGAGTTGTTGATCCCACGGGTTGGCATGTATGATTACGATTTATAAATTTAAACATTATACCTAACTTTATCCAGATGATAATATGTTTTGATGTTTACATTTAAAATAATATTTCCAAGAAGCTTATCCGATCTATTAAAACACTGACTTATGTGTGACAACCAAAGCTCAACAATTTCATTTAGCCACTTATAAGCTGTATGAAAATATTGATCTGCTTTTATAAGATCCAAACATTATGACTTTTATACAGGTAATCTCATTGAAAAAACCATTGTCCACTACAGATACAATGACTTTTTGAATATGAGTCTCATGGCATCAATTTCTTCCGTCTTTAGTGGTATAAGAGGCAGACGTGTTGGGCCACCATAATAACCAAACCACTCCAATGCAGTTTTTAGTCCTGGTACACCGAATCGCCGTGTTATCTAAAAAAAAATAATTAAAATACATCTTCTATAATATATTTTAAAATCTCCAGATATAGGATTGCTAGTGGTTCCCAACCTTTATGAGATGCTGAGCCCTTTTTAGCATCAATTTCTATGGGGGAGCCCATGAGGCCTTCCCCATGTCTTACAATTGAATTTTAATGGGGGTTTTTTTGTTTCCTTGAGTGGCCACGGAGCCCATGAGAAATGCATGAGGGGCACAGGTTGGAAGCCACTGTTGTAAGTAAAAAAAATGGTTTATTGAAGTGACAAAAAAAATAAATACAGTTAAAATAATTTCAAAAGATCAATGTTGTGTAACAAAAATGTAGGTAAGATTTGTTACTTTAAATCTAAGAACTTACACAAGTGTTAGGGCCAACTATTTTGAGTTGTAGGTCCATGGCAGATTTGAGATCATTTGATTTGGATAGCTGAGCCAATTTGCAAACATCCTCACCTATAACATTTGCAGCACCGCAAATGCCTCCTACACAACCTAAAGTAATTGTGTGGGTTTTTTTAAAGTTGTTGCTATACATGTAAAAATAAATGTAAAAAAAGACAGCTTATATTGGATTATTAAAACCATATTACATGATCATACAATATGAAGCTTCATGTAAATCAATATAAAAACACGTACTTATTATTTACTTTGTTTTCTATATTGTTTTACAAATGTAGGGATTAGTTAAAACTTTTACAGACATATTTCACATGTTTATTAAAATGACAAATTTGTATACTCATTCACACAAAAATTATTTCAAGAACTCACTTTCAAATCCTTAAAAGAAAAGAGTTCTTCACAAAATAATAGTGTATGAAATGGATTTTTGTGTAGAGTGTTTGATAAGAACCATTTACTCAAAAGAAAAATTTCTTACCAACATGATAAGCTGCCAATAAAAAACCTGCAGATCCAGCCAAAATTTGAAATTTAGCTGATGATGTTGCATACACAAGAGAAGCAATTCGAGTGATCTGTAATAGAATTTCTTCAGATTAAAGAAAACCAAGCTTAGTAATAGCCGCACACTTCAGAATAACGGTCCAATTTTACAAACAAAAGAATTTGGTGGGTTTTTTTAAAGCCTTTTTTAACATGAAAATATATACAGCGATACATAGGTATCTAAAACCACAAGGGGCCATCCATATAATGCATACACAAAAAAGTGATTTTGCAACATCCCCTGTTTTACTCTTACTTTTTTGGGACACACCCTTTTGTGTATGTACAAGAGTTTTCTACCCCCCTTCTCCCCATCCACCACAAAATAATTTTTTTTTAAAATAATTTATTTCTAAGCCAATTATAATGTAATGTATAATGTAAAGCTTTTTAAAAATATGTTACAGGTTTTCAGGCCAGTCTGTTTGGTGAGCCCAGTGGTTCCCAAATTATATGTCACAATGCCTTGTTGCAGGGCCATGAAAAGGGGACACTTGCCCTGGGCAACAACATCAAGAAGGGGTGGGGGTGGGGTGCAATTCATCTACAGATAAGGCCTGAATAGTGAATAAACTTTAAAATCCTATGAGCTTCACAAAGGTAAGGGGCGCCAAAAAAATCATCTTTTTACTGGGTGTCACTTTTTTCTATATATTGAGGGGCATCTTTTCAGGCTTTATCCTGGCTGCGTGCGGCTTTGCTTTGGCACAGCCCTGCCCTTGGTTTCCAGGGCTTCCTCATATTACTACCCAAGTAGTAATACACAATTTTCATAATTTTAATTTGACATAGAGTGAGCCTGGTGAAAACAGTAACTCAATTCATAAATTACTGTTTGCAGTTGCTAAATTACGCTTAGTGACCTACATACTTATATCTATTTCGCCCAACCCCTTATTTTATTTTTTGAAAATGCATTTGCTGTTTTGAAGTGTACATGTTAGAATTTAACACAGGGCACCTGGTGAAAACGTAAAATTGGCAAGGATGCTGAGAATTGAAAAATATTTGGAACCTCTGGCGTAGCCAAACAGAACGTCACACGCCCACGGAATATACGTGGATTAAATATCACTATTACGACTACTAGAGCCATATCTAGCAAGTTCACATATGAAAAAACATGGCAAAATTATGACTGTAATTCTTACAAAACATTTCCCGATATTTTAAAGCATTAGAATTATAAATATACTTTTTATGGACTGTCATAACTTATGGATAATTATTGCAAAGTTATGTAAATAAATGTAGGTACTTTCTGGCGAGACCCTCCCCCAGGCAGGCGTATGCAAACTCTTCAAAACTGACACCTCCGTCCCCCCTCAATGCGTTATTACTCTATGGATGGCCCCTAAACCATTTTTTTAAACACCTTATGAAACAAACAGAAATGTACGAAGCATATGACTCACATCTCCACCACTTTCTTTCATGCCAATGATATTAGGATGTTGGGAGAGTCGAATCACTACATCTGGGGGAATATCCATTCCTGTGTTGCTCGGTACATTATACAATATGACAGGGACAGGAACCTCATCAGCCACCTGGTAGCAGAAAGTTTAAGGCTGGTATCACATGACAAAATGTGTGCAACAGCACTTAATTAGTAGAGTAGTAAAGGACTGTTGAAAAATTAGTAGCAAAAATATTGTTATTACATGTACGAAAAATATTTTAAGAGAATTATTTATAGGCCTGATACATACTGACTAAATTGCACATAGTTAAACTAATACTATACATTGGAAAAGAAATACTTTGGTAAAGTGAGCAATCAGTGCATCTGAGTTCATGCTGGCCTTAAAGTAAAATGGATTAACAACCAGTACTGCCTGGGCTCCTGCCTCTGCCATTAGTTTGGTGAGTGATATTGTGTCCCTAGTGGCTGAAATTGTACAAAATAGCTCAAGGCAGTATAGCTTGATTATCCCATATTATTTGACAGTAAAGTTATTAAATAATATCATTTTAATAATACACGAATAAAGGATGTAATATGTTAATTTCGAGGCAAGAGAGAAAAACACATCCAACCTTTGCAGAGTCTCAAAATGCTTTGAATCTATACATCAAGTCATTTTTTTTTCTCTTTCAAACATGTTTTAACCATTTGAGCCACTGTTTATTAAATACAGATAACAAGAGTAAATATAATCCATATTTACATTCACATCCTGATCCAGCGATGATTAACTTGCCAGGACCAGCAAGTCGTTTTGTTTCTTTAACCATCTGTATGCGTTCATCCCATGTTAAGAAGCAGCACTCTCCATTAGAACCCTGCACCACATAACCTTAGGGAGTAAAGATGACTCATGATAACTACACACACTTACCACAGGACTTCCCTTTGTTAAAAAAAATAATTATTAAAAGTGGAAAGATCGTATATAATGACCACATTATTAGGAAAAAGAAAAATCTGAAATTTTCATATATTTCATCCGAAAGATGCCTCTAAATAAACCAACTTATCCATAACTTGTTTGATATTTTGATATTAAAATATTTTGGTTTCAAGGATATTTTATCTTTTACTAGGTAACAGTATTTTTCTTTTAAATTAGAATTAAATAAAACATACATAACATATTCTTTAAAGTTTAATTAAGAAAAATACCTGAAAATGGAATCTTATTCCATTTTTTCATATTGCTTTCTAGTTTATCATATGCTATACTTTCATCTTCATTGAATGGTGTGGGAATAGGAGGAAATATTCCCGAGATATCAAGCTGTCTGGTAACAGCAGATTGGCTGAAATATTTACAAGTGAGACTGATGGGGACTCCAAAACTTGAACTACAAAAAGTTGATGATGTTGGCTGAAAAGGAAAAAACTATTTCAGATTCTATAAAAATAAAATAGAGACTGTCTGATGAGAGGAAGGCCAAAGAATATGACACGAGCTAAAGGCAGACACGCAAAATATGGGATACACCTGGAATCAACTGGAAAGGAAAGCACAGGACCATGATAAATGGAAAATTCTTGTGGACAGTGTATGTCCCAGACGGGATAAAAAGGCATAAGAGAGAAAAATAGGTGTCATCAATCAGTTCTTTAAAGGTGTTTGATCAGATTCTATAAAAAAGTGTAATCAATTCAGTGTTTGAAGGTGTTAAAAATTGTTCTAGAATTATGTTTTAAATGTAATACATTTTTTTATTTTAAAACCATTACAACTTGTTGAAACTTGAAAAATGTGAAAACATTAATTAAGACTAACTATACTAACCTTGAAAAGCCTGCTGGCTAGAGTTATGACCCTTGTTGACATTTTCAATTAATACTGGCAGCTAAAAAAGGATGTCTTATTTTACTCTGCAAAATATAAATAAGTTTGCCATTGTTTGATTTGGTTATTTTTTCTTTATATTGGGTAATAAAATGTATCTTTCTTAGGCATAAGTAGAATAATAATTGCTTGCACTTTATAGCTATATTGTATTATTACCTCTACAAATTAAATTAAAAAATAAGTTGTGGAACTTTGCTAGTCAAATCATACACTACTTGCTTTTCTGATTTGAATCATGAAAGAGAGGAGTATGCATGAAAGAAGGTGGGATAAATGATAGAAATGAATGAAAATAAAAGCAAGCAACTAGACTTATTTAATAAAAACAATAAAACGCAGTATAAGTAGTTTGACATCCTTATTAGAGAACTATTTATTTCTGTGCAATTTTACTTGAAATAATGTTGTTTAACAATGTACATCAGCTGTAATTATTAAATATCACAAACTAGAAAAGTGAGACTTATTTCTTTCAATTAGAATCATTAGATATGAGATTCTATTTGTTTTTTTAATATATATATATATATATATATATATATATATATATATATATATATATATATATATATATATATATATTTATATATGAGATTATATTTTTTTTTATTATATATATATATATATATATATATATATATATATATATATATATATATATATATATATATATATATATATAAGTCAAAGCAGACAACCCCACACTTCTCAAATAATTTGTTTGTAATAAGAATGATATCAGATTTTTATTTATTAAAAATTATCTCTGTTCTTTTAAAATTTATGGATCAAATCATCCAATAAAAATTTTTTTTTTACCAGTGGGTTTTTATTATGTTTTGTCTTGTGTATTAAAATATTTTGGGAATCGATAAGTTTAAAATTAAAAGCTTAAATATTTTATTTCAAATGAATCATTGTATTATGCATCCATCATTTACCCATCTTGTCTGTTGTGTTCAATATGCTAATGAAACTCAAGTTTAGCAAAAATTATAAAAGACACTAAAAAAAGTGATACTTTAACACTCTTATTTACTAATCCTATTATAAATTAAAGTTAATTCAATGGTGCATTGCTTGCTAATCATTTCTGAACCATTTGATTTTGAACACAATATATTGATTTAAGAAAATCTCCAATTAATTGTTTTTATTTTTATAGACACATGCTAAGCCAAATGCTAACAGACTCAGCAGGCCTAACACTATGGTCTCTGGTGGATAATGTGGTAAATTATTATTTACCGTATAATTTTACTTTTATGCAGATACTTTGGTCAAATTTTCAAAATATTTCTAAAAATATTAATGCAAAACAGATTAATAGAGCCAATTAAATGGTTTACAAAAACGATAAGATCAACTTTCTAGCTCAAGTCATTTAATGTTAATGAATATTTTGTGCAGACTTAGAAGTTACTTTGTTTACCAATGAGTTGTCCTCCACATTTTTAGCCCATTACTTTCAACCATGTTTCTTGCATATTTCTCTTTATAAAGATGTCATATTTACAGGATGTGTTGATAATATTTTATATTAATAAATGAATAGCATTTTCTCATTTAAATTATAATTAGAAAGTAATATACTACTTTTCGAATATAAATTCAATAAAGTGTGCATTTTTGAAGTGAACAAATTATCATAACTTATTTAATGTTACAGATGCAAAGCTCAAATTTGGCGTGGTTTTACAACTTATTAATTTACAATGGCAAGCAATTACTTGTTTTCATAGTAGAGAATAAAATAAATTATCAGTGATTCTCACAAAATCAAAATCAAGGAATAAGCCATACATTCTACATACAAAAATTTAAAGTTGCAAACATTTATTCTTATTTTCGGTTCATTGAGTTCAAGCAAAATTTTGATATTCTTTGGAGTCATTTGACCCATAAACAATAGCTTAAACTGAATAAATAGGCTACAACAGGATCTAAATTTTAGACTCAAGCTGTTGAGATTCATTTGAAAGATGACAGATGAGCCAGTATTATTATTCACCTGTGGATTATATTAAAATATATAGTGGAATTCTTTGGATTAATGATTAATGTGTTTTGCTTTCTTTAGAGGACAACTTTGGAAATTCATTTTTTAGACTTCTTAGTAATTATTAGAAATAGTCTAATTATTTGTGAAATATTTAAATGTGGTGACTTTGAGTATATATTTAATTATTTCAATATGAAAAGTAAGTTTTTATTTAATTTACATAAAAACAATTAATATGAGCATAATAATATAATATCATTATGTAAATAGCTTACATTCTGTGTTATTTTATAATAAATATTTGAATACATTTAAAAGGTCTATTTAAGTCAAAGAAAAGTGGTTATCAATGCCATTTCCATGGCAACCAATCTCAAAATTAATACCATTGATAAGCCAATTGTAATTATTTATGTGAAAAATTTTTTTTAATATATTTTAAATGAATTATCATTAGCTATCCTTCCTATTTATGTGCTGGATAATCAATTTAATGAATTATTAACTACCCCACAGCTGCTAGAGACAATAGGTAATATGCTGAAAAGCATGTTCACCATAGTGAAACATTACATTAGCCTAAAATAGAAACCTTTTTTTTTTTTTCATTTTTGACCTCTTTAACTAATGCCTAAGGTACATGTGTCGAACTCAAGGCCCGCAGCCCACATCGGGCCTGCCATACAATTATATCAGGCCCGCAAGGTCTTGAATATCCAAGTCAACGCTATGGTGTTTCCCAATGCAAACTTTGCTAAAAACTTAGCTTACTTCGCGCTGAGTTCGCAGAGCGCTTTAGTGACTTTGAAGACCAGAACAGTAATTTCGAGCTGTTTCGTAACCCAATTGTCATGGACGTGGAAACTGCACCTGTAAATTTGAAGATGGAGCTAATAAAGTTGCAGTGTAATTGGACACTAAAGGCAAAGTACAGCACTGTGGGGCCTACACAGTTCACTCATTTCATTCCTTAAGAGATGCCCCAGCTTCATCTACATGGTGCTCGAACCTTGAACATGTTTGGTAGCACATATATGTGAGCGCAGCTGTTTTCTGTGATGAAGATTAACAAAACATCACACAGGAGTCGTCTCACTGATGAACACTTGCAGTCCATCATGAGAATCTTAATGACACAGAACATAACACCCAACATAAACGAACTTAATTGCTTTTGTAGCCATGAACATGTGCCAAACATCCAACTCTGACAAATTTGCATTAGAACGAAATTGGGTATGCCAATGATTTTTAATCATTAAAACTTTTTTCTGTTTTCATTTATATAAATATTTTTTTTTAAAATATTAATTTTTCGCTTATTGAATGTTTATCCTGCAACCTTAACATGTGGTTTGAGTTTTGGCCCGCCGAGGGATGGAGTTTGACACCCCTGGCATAAGGTCTGTTCTCATGAATTTTGGATATGTAATTGATGACATCATAAACTTAAGGACAATTTTTTTAATAATTGATCAGTGTTTTAAAAAAAAGTTATTGATCAGTAAAGTTTACCCATTTTTAAATCTTTTATATTAACTTCACTTTTGTTCATGGCTGGCTGGCAAAATCTTCAGACGGCTTACTGACCCACTTACCATCAACCTATGGAGCTGAAACTTTGCACATAGAATCGTTGCAGATGACAACACATTCTATCAAATTTTCAGCCCCACCCTTGAACCCCCAAAAAACAGTTTTTCCTTTTTTTCAACTGGGAGATGAGGGAAATATAATGACAATGATTTCACGAGATAGCTGCGCTAATGAGATTCTTAAAATAGTATATCGCGAGTGCATTTGGTGCGTAATATTTTCTTTATCTGAAATAGAAGGTGAAATAAATCTGCGGTGTAAAAGGTCATTATAATATTAGTACAGTTCAGGGCGTGAAAAAAAATGTGATGTAGCGAGCGGGGGGTGGGGGGAGGCACGACTCTAATTGGGATTCTTATAAAGTGTGTCACTTGTATGCATGTTTTGTCCACTTTTCAAGCCCACTCCTAATTCTTAAACCTCAACAAAAAATTCAAATGAATTCTCAACTGAACTATCAAAATGTAGGTTTTAAATAATGTAGTATTTATTAACAACAATAACCTTGGTAGTAAATTTAAATGTGGAGATTGCCATTAAGACAATGAAATTACAATACCAGATTTACAGGTTTTCTCTGGTGATACCCAAGTCTCGGTCTACGACTATATAAATAAATATACAAGGCATTATTTAAGAGTTTGAAATTATCCTTCATCAAGAATATGATAATGATGCTTTTTTCAGTTAAATAAATTTTTTTAGTAAAAAGCACATTGATAATGAACTCCGCCAAGGCTGGTCCCAAGCCTGGGTGCAAAAGGAGGAGGGTTTGCATGAGGCCAGCTACCTCACTCGTAAAAACAAATTGCTACAGAAACATCAATAAGAAAAAACCAACAAATTTCAGAAGAGAGGACTCTTCTTTTCCAAGAAGAGCTATGAAGCCTTGTGGCCAAACCCAGGCTATACTGGAAGCCTCAAAGCCAAAGACCCTTCTTTCTAAGGAAACAAACATAAGCATGTGGAACGTCAGAAACATAAGCATGTGGAACGTCAGAAACATGTATGAAACAGGGAAAGCAGTGCAGGTGGCAGCAGAAATGAGATCTTACAAACTTACACTGCTTGGCATCTGTGAAACAAGATGGATACAAGCTGGAAAAATAACTTTGGCCTCTGGGGAAATGCTAATGTACTCGGGGCATGAGGATGAAAATGCTCCGCACACGCAAGGAGTCGCTTTGATGTTGTCAAAGAAGGCACAGGATGCATTGATTGGTTGGGAAGCCCATGGATCAAGAATAATATCAGCAACCTTCTGAACCAAGAAAAAGAAAATAAGGATGAACGTAATACAGTGTTACGCACCCACCAATGATATTAAAGAAGAAGAGAAAGAAACATTCTACAATAGACTGCAAGCAATAAAATAGAGACCAGAACATCTTAATAGCCAAGATTGGAAAAGACAACTGTGGGTATGAGGAAATCATGGGACGCCACGGTATAGGAGAGAGGAATGAGAACGGAGAAAGACTAGCAGACTTCTGCGCAACAAATGAACTTGTTATTGGAGGAAGCGAATTTCAACATAAAAACATCCACAAGATAACATAGGTATCCCCAGACAACAAAATGCAAAACCAGATAGATCACATATGTATCAGCAAAAAGTTTAGAAAGTCTCTACAAGATGTACGAGTAATAAAAGGAGCAGATGTTGCGTCTTTGATAGCCTGGACCGACAAACCTTGTGGAAACTTCTTCTACACTATGAAGTACCAGGGAAACTAATCGGGATCATTCAGAGCTCTTATGAAGAAATGACATGCAGGCTGGTCCACGAAGGTAGACTCACAGATTCCTTAACAGTCGAAACAGGATGCCTCTTGCCCCCATTTCTATTCATCCCTGCCATTGACTGGATAATGAAAAAATCCACGGACGAAAAGAGGAATGGGACACAGTGGACACTCTGGGAACAACTGAATGATTTAGACTTTGCAGACGACATTGCACTTCTGTACCACAACCAGCAAAAATGCAGGAAAAGATGAAAGACGTGACCACCATTTCAGCACAGTTCGGACTCAATATAAATAAAAGCAAGAGGAAGATCATGAAGATAACCTCAGCCAACCAAGAGCATATCTCTCTGACAGGAAAGGCACTGGAAGAAGTGGAGTCCTTCACATACTTAGGCAGCACCATCGACATAAATAGCAGATCTGAAGAGGATGTAAGGGCCAGAAATGGAAAAGCTAGATCAGCATTTGTGCTATTAAAGAAAATATGGTCGAAGGAGCTGAAACTGCAAACCAAAGTCAGAATCTTTAACACCAATGTCAAAACTGTCCTACTATATGGTGCAGAAACTTGGAAAACAACTGTGAGCCTTATGCAGAAAGTGAAGACATTCATAAACAAATGCCTTAGAAAGATCCTGCACATCAAATGGCCAAATACTATCACCAACAAGGATTTACTAGAAAGGACATACCAGGTGCCCATCGATGAAGATATCATAAAGAAAAGATGCAGATGGATTGGGCATATGCTCCGAAAACCCCCCGATAGCACCACCAGACAATGCCTAACATGGAACCCACAGGGAAAAAGAAAGAGAGGAAGGCATAGAAAATAATAATTATTAGTGGTCTTTTATAGCCCTAGGCTCACCGCGCTGTACATAAAAATATTATCAAAAGAGACATAATCATGACATTAAAATAAAATACAATAATGAAGTAAAGAACAGCATGAACCCCAGGACTTATACAAGGCAAACCATGGACAGCAGCCAAGATCATTTATCGGTCAGAGGAAGTGAATCAGTCAGGGTAGTTATAGTTTAAAGAGATGTGTTTTGAGTACAGTTTTGAAGGCCTGGGTGGTTGGTATATTGCGGATGTGTAGTGGCAAAGAATTCCATTGTTGGGGGGGGGGGGCAGAAAGAGAAAGATCATTCACCGTATGTTTTAGTGTGTCTTGAGTTTTTGAGTACAGTTTTGAATGCCTGGGTGGTTGGTATATTGCGGATGTGTAGTGGCAAAGAATTCCATTGTTGGGGGGGGGGGGCAGAAAGAGAAAGATCATTCACCGTATGTTTTAGTGTGTCTTGAGAATGGACAGAATACACATGGAGACGAGAGCCAGAGCCAGACATGCAAAATATGGGATACACCTGGAAGCAATGGGAAAGGAAACCACCGGACCGTGATGAGTGGAAAATTCTTGTAGACGGCCTATGCCCCAGACGGGGTAGAAAGGCATGAGTAAGTAAGTAAGTACATTGATAATGAACTGCTGTAGTAACAGCAACATTCAACAAGTCCAGTGCATCCATAAAAAAAAGTTTAGTTATGATAAGCCTAGGGTTGCCAGACATCCGCAAAAGGAGGACATGTCCTCCTTTTTAGCTCAATATTCTCCGTCCGGCAGGCAAGCTAAAATCTTTTAAAATGTCCTGCTTTTCTTACATTAAATGTTATAATTTTTATGTATTGTTGTTACAACTATTACATCGTATGTTTACGTTTTTACAATGTACAAAGTCTATGCATTTCTGCGAACTTGTCGATTTGGTCATTCTCACAATCTAGCTCTGTGCTGTATTATCTATGGTCAAAATGTTAATGTTATTTCCGGGTCCGACTACAAAGACGCAAATTTTAATTGTTTTTTAATTTGTAATTTTTGCCGTCTATGTTTAGGAAAATGGCTTCTACAAAGAGAAAATGCAAATTCTCAAACACTATGAAAAATAAATTTCCTTGTTTCGTTGAAGGACGCAATTTGCGATAGTTACTTGTCCGTACAATTGGCTATTTAAATGATGTTTTTTGAAATTTTGAAAAAAGCGTCCATTGAATTTGTTTTTTTTAACGTGACTTTTTCTTGGTCGATTCACTAAGAGTAAGCTTAAGATACACTTAATTGGCAGCTATTACAATAAAATTGTGCTGACTGTGAGTTTAATCCGGGACGACTCAAATGAAACATTCAAAATGTCCTCGTTTTTGTTTTATTATGTCCTCCTTTGGGTCTCCACGTATCTGGCAACCCTAGATAAGCCTCCTTATTACATTATTACTAATTACATAATGCTGAGATTAGTGAGATAGCCTGAATTATAATACCAACAACTCACACTTCTCTAAGAAAACTTCGTGGACGGTAGAGTTTTCCTTTCAGGCTTTCACCTATTGTCTCTCCCAGCCACAGTCCTTATCCATTATCCCTTGCCCTTAGCCTTGCCTTACACTTACAACTTGACTTACACTTGAGTCTTGAGTTGTGCTTGTACTTGTGTTGAGCTTGTCCAATTAATTTTAAATACAGTATGACAATTATGAACAATTAAAACTGCTGATGCCTTTTCTCGACTTATGTAATGTAGTGGAACATGTTGAATGAGCATGGACTTTACCCTGACCTGTATAGCCGTGCTGTGGATGGCCTGAAAACAGACCAGTCGGGTCTGTATGTAGGCCCAACTGCTCCTCTTATCAAACATTTGTATTTTCTATGGTAAGGGAGAGCACTCTAAGAATATATTGGATTATCAGTTTTTAATCTTCAATACTTTACATTGTGTTGCTTCATGCTCCTTTTTAAAGAACATTTTTTTTTTTTTTCAGGGGTTGAGGAGGATTGATATCATTTTTTTTTTTACGTTGCTCCCTCCCTCTTCTCTCATCAGTCTTGTATGTGTGGAAGAAGGCTACAGTTTTTATATTTTATATTAAAAAAAACAACCACACTTATGGCAGCATGTTTCAAGCGTTCATAAAAAATGAAACTGATTCACGGGTTTTTATCATTTATGACATCGCGTCTAAATTTACTAAATCTTTTTTTTTATCGCTCACAACTTTCATCAAACCTGAAGAATTTCAAAAATTAAGTATGTTCACAATAATATCAATATGAATTATTTTGTTCATCTTCACTGACAACTCACAATTTAGACATACAGAATACTGCTAGTCAAGGAAGGTGTAGTTGCTATTTTTCACCAGACGACGCAAGCTTGCAATCGTGACTGGAATAACTAATGAAGTGTGTTAATGGCATAACCAAGAAGAGGCCAGCCGAAAAACTGATAAGGCTTTGTCTTAGTTACAGATAGTTTTTTTTTTGTTCTTTTCAAATGTCTGCAGCACAAGTTAGTAGGCTAGGCATTAATTATTTAATGATAGAAAACTGATAAAAGAAAAACCTGTTATTGAAATGATTTGTTAGGCATTTTTTTTAAACTTGCAATCCTTAGATGATTTGTGTCATGAAATCATTTTTCAAGAAATCTGCCATTTAAAATACGTTGTCTTGACTTTCTTGATTATATAGGAGTCAATGTAGACTAAGAGAACTAACTTCTTCATACGAACAAGAACATAGAATCTTTAATTCAACATCCTCTATTTAAAATACTGTCTTATGTTACATATTAGTAGTTTAGGACAGATTGGATGAATGAGCAGGAGTTACATTGTTTTTCAAGCCCTTTTTCTCCCTAAAAGCATGCAATATTTTAATTACCTGAATTTTCAAATTAAATCGGCATAGTTAAAGATACCTCAATGTTATAACATTAAATAAACACCCATACGGTAAATAAAAAAAAACAAGAGCTTTCTTTTTTTCCATGTGGAAGTACCAGTTTTATTCTTTCTGGATGCAGAAACTTGGCAGTCAAGGAGTGGCTTACAAGGAAACATGCACTATTTACATTTTCAGAAAAGCATAAACATATAACCAAGTGCAAACAGCAACTTGAGGAAAAAAACAACACAGAAATTTATCATGACCATGAAATTTTTAAAATACCAGGTCCTGGAAAATAACTATATTTGTCACATTCCACAACAATTTATTCAGTTTTACTTGATTAACAAAACACACCCAGCTTCACTTTAGAGGTTAAGTGAACATTTTAAAAATAAATCTGATCTCAGCCGACTAATGTTTGTAAAACTGAGAATGTTCCCTTACAAGCCAGAGTATTAAATATGTTTCCACAATCTACACTGAACTTGGAAAAATGTGCAAGAATGGCTTAGACATGAAAAAAAAAGAAAAAAAAGAGCATATGAATGTCACAGCAAAAGGAACTTTACTGCTAATAAAAGGCAATAGTTGTAAGGTTTCTTCTCCCATGATGGTACAATTGTAGTAAAAATGCATAAAAATATTACATATTTTGATAGGTCCAATTGCTTGGAGGACATTCTAAAAAATTATCAATAATATTAATATTTAATAATATATAAGGTTCAAAAAGCTGTTAAAGATTATCCTCCCCTTAGTCATCTCAGTATGTTCATGCCTAAGCTCTTCCTCTGAAAAAATAAAGGTTTGAACACGGAGAGAATGTGTACTTTGTTGTTATTTGAACTGAAATGACTGAGCCGAGTCTAACAAGTGTAGAGAAAAAGTCTCAGACTGGAACATAATGAAATTTTAAGTTTAATATCACTTGTAGCTGAGATGAAAATTCTCGACTTTAATAGGAAGACAACCTCCTAAAACATATATAATCACTTAATTGCCATTTATTAAATAATCACAACAATAATACACTTAATACAGTGTATTGTGAAATCTTATTTACCTAAGGTGATGCCAATGAATGACATGATGAAGAATGTGAATAATCTACACAAATTTGCTAACATTGATTTAAATTAAATTTGATATTATGTCAAGTCAATGAGAGATTTTTTTAAAAGTTCAGTTTTTGCTTGATAATAAATCTTGGTAACAAATGTATTCAAAGTCATACTTTTACAAATTGCTTCATAGTAGAAAATGTAAAACAGCTTTACAAATATCTGCAAAATTACACAAAACAAGGAAAATACATAGAGACAATACAAAGTCACTCCTCATTCGTTCACAAGGCCTGGCACATTCCCAGGATATCACATAGCCTCACACTCAAAACCAAATAGTTCACACCAGGACTGCAAACAGCGAGTTTTAAACCTTCTTGCAGTCAACCTTTGATTTTAAAAAAAAAGCAACAAAATTTTAAAAAACACCTGAATTTTACCTTTATAAAATTTAAATGGAAGCATAACTTAAGATAAAAAGAAACAAAAACATAAAAAAAATTCACCTTAACTTTAGAAAAACAAATAATTTAAATATAAATTATTATTTAAAAATATAAATCTTAATCTAAACCATAAAAATTTAACTTGAAATATAAATATAACAAATAAATATAATGCTAAAATTATTTTTTTAAAAATTGATATTAAGGTTTAAAACATTATTGAAAAACAGACATGACCATTGCAAGACTAGACAATGTTACTAAACCAGCACTAGAAGAAACTCCTCAATACCAAATAAAAGGTGCAGTGCACAGTAGTAACACTATGATTTTCTTTTTTTAATATCATGATAAGTATTTGGTACCGTAAATGAAGTTTGCCATAAATAAATATATAGCTCCTAAATCAGTGCATAACAAGCTCATAACTCGTTTTTGACAAAAGCTAGACTGTATAATTTATGATTTAGCGAAAGTAACAAAGACCAGTCTTGTAGCTAGCACTCGCAGTTGCAAGTCCACCTTTCAATCTATTTGGTTAGCGTGAGGCTATGACATCTCCTGGGCACCAAGGTTATTTTATCATGATGCGCAGGTAATGTAAGGCATTGTGGGCTGCATTGGCATGGGCTTCATCCATAATTGGCCCAGTACCTTGACATACAGCAACTGGTGCTGTGGATAGCTGAACTAAGCACTGATTCAGTCCTGGCAATCAAAAGAAAACAAAAATATTTTCAGTTATGTAGTAGAGTGAATTATTTACTTTGCTTGTATTTCAGCATTTTTCTATTAGTGATTTATTCAAAGAATGCAAGCAATATTAAAACTGATAAAGCTTTTGTTTTATAACAAACTTTTTTAATATATTTTTACTGATTTAAATTTAAAGACAGATTAAATATTTCTGTTTACTATAAAAATTATTAGTCCCAATGATAATTGTTAAAAATATAATGTATACCAGTATAAGATACGATTATTCAGACTTGTAAAAAGCGAAATAAAATATACCTAGAGTAAAAAGACTAGGATAACCAGGATATTTTTTCTTACAACATAACTATTTTAAAAAAAACTTATTTAAAACATTACAATGCCTGGTAAAAATCTCTGGTACCATGGCATCCTGACCCATTTATTCTTCTATATTCCCTGATTATACGATATTAAAAAGTTACAACTCTTACCCATAGCACTATCATCCTTTATATCAAAATATTGCACTTCAAATCTCTGAACTTCAGCAATTTCTTGCAGCATCTGACAGTAATTGGTTGGTGGAGTCAATGTCTGACCTTGACCTCTAATTTGTTTGCCCCCTGCAATCATCACTTTTTCATAGAATCGCTGAATCTCAAGAGCTGATTGTGGATTGACTGGTTTGGCCTTTCCTTTCGACTGTTTTAAACCAGTGAATGTAGATTTTTCAAATCCCTGAAATCATTAAGTGAAAAGATAAAAGTAACTGAAACAATAAATATCTACTTGAGAGTAAGAGACTCATTTTACAGAGCGAAAGAAATCACCGACAAAAATATTTTTGTGATTTGTTGCAATGATAAAATTTAATTATGAATTTGCATTGACAAAAGCTTTTCTTTAAATATAATATATAATTTTTTTTAATTATAAATTTTTCAACTTGCCATTTACCAACTTTTAAAAAAAAAATAAAAACCATGTCAGTATTGTTTTAAAATCTGGAGTCAATGTCTATAACATACTTTTTTTGTACCATACTTGGTGTCAATAACTGATTTTTTTAGCATGTTTTGGGTGTGTATGGAATATCAGAATTTCTGAGTTGTGTCCACGGTCCTGTGATTTAATTGTTCGGGTAATGAAAGATAACTAAACAATGTAAGGTGAATAAATGCTGTGTGAACACGGGATGCAAGTTATTATGGAGAGTTCTTGTAAGTCAGTGTGTCGAGTGTCGTCTCAGTATTAGTGAATTTTGGTGTCATGAACAGTTAAAGTTACAAAAACAAACTATTACCAATGGTATTTCTTCATCCTCATCAGAGTCTTCAAGTTGTTTTTCTGCCTCTTTGTCTTGAGATAAGGCTTTCAGCTGTGCCAACATGTTGGCAGCAGCCATGCGCTTGGCAGTTTTCTTTGACCTGCCAGTACCTGAAAGATTGTATATAGTAAGGACACTGTATTTTATGTACCAGTGCAGTCCAAGATCTAGACAAGTAAGAATGATAATATAGAACTTGGCTCCATAGATGAAGCAAGTCCATTTAGTCATTCTGTGCGTGATGTTTACAAAATTTTAATACAGTGAAATAATTACTGATAAATGAAACAAAAAACAAAATAATCTGGAAAGTTTTGAATGATTTTATGCAATGTTTAAATTTTTCTATCCAAACAAAATTTGTGTTAAAGTTTAAGTTCTCCCATTCAACAGTTTTCTCTATTCAGATCCCAGAATAGTTTAAATTTTGAAGTCACATGATCCAAAACCCAAGATTATTACTTGAAATTAGTATGGATAAAGCCAGGTGATAAATTCTCAGGTCTAAAAATAGTATCTGCATAGTAAAAATATATTGTTAGGTAGAACAAGATCATAAGCAAAAGGGGGCAGCTTTTCTTGGGTGGCAGTCAAATAACTTTAACCAACAAACTTGGAAGTTAGCAGCCAACTAACAGTTTGAATAAAAACCAGCTGTCTCCACCAGCTAGGTTACAGCTGTAGGAATAAATCCAAAAATTGACAAAAATTCAAACTCAATATAATCTCATATGACACAACAGTGACCAATATCATCACTGTAACTAAATGAGTAAGTCCACTATTATTATTTACAAAAATGATTTTTTAAAAATTAATTACCGTATTTATTGGCGTATAACACGCACTTTTTCTCCCCGAAAATAGGGGGCAAATCATATGTGCGTGTTATACGCCAATATGTTTAGTTTTTTTTTCCTGAAATTTCCTTCTTAAATTGAGGTGCGTGTTATACGCGGGGGCGTGTTATACGCCAATAAATACTGTAAGATCTAGGGCTTCCCCGTGTCCTGGAAAGTACATTTTCAGTCACATGATCTAACCGAATGTTTTCAAAAGTTGTTGTAATTAGGTCTTTAGTGTCTCTTGTATTATTTGGAAAACTAGACTTAGTAGAAAGTCCATTTAGAGAGTTACAGAAACATAATGTTGATTAAGTTTCATGTATTGTAAAAAAATTATGTTATTTTTTTTAGACTTTTACAACCATTTTGACAAGTTCTAAAACCTCTTTTTTAAATTTTAAGTTTGCCATTTTCATCCTGTATAGCACAATAATATATAGTAAAAATAAAAAGTTTTGCTAAATGGCAATACCTTTATCAGTGAACTTCCCAAGCTTAATATTGCAAATGAATTCTCTGGCATGAGGAGGACCTTGCTCTGTGACGAATTCATAAATTGGAGGCTTCAATAATTTCTTTTGAGTAAACTCTTGTAATTCTCCAATTGGGTTTCCTACATCTTCCTCTTTGTTTGGAGTGGGAGCTGTAGATCTAAATTGAAAATATGGGAGATTACGTTTTGATATATTTACAAAACATCATAAAATGTATAATAATCACACAAACTTAGAAAAGGAATGTTTCAAATATATATCAATTGAAATTTATTTAAATTGAAATGACAAAATTTTCATTAGTCTATTCTCAAAACTAAAACATTTACAATATAAGACTATAAGCTTGTTTCAAAATTTTATTGATCGAACAAAATCTGATCAACTCATGCACTTATCTTAAAGTAGCATAGCCAATTGTGAATGTAATAAATTTGTACAAAATAATACTTACACAGTAGGTTCCTCTTTTATTTCTTCCTGCCCGTTAGTGACACCCAATAAAATGTTCAGTGCATTTTGGGCAGCTGCATGTTTAGCCTTCTTTTTGCTGGAACCTTAAAAGAAAGACATTTTTTTTTTAAAATATACAATGTATTCAAACTACTTTATGCATTTTAAAGTTTCAATTGTTTGATTTTTTCATTAATTCCATGGAAAGTTATATTTGCCCCATCATCCATATAAATAGGAAGGCTTAGTCAATCGAGTGCCTCCCCTGGGGCTCCAGTTGACAAGTCTGTGGTGGCTTGCCGATCAGGAGGCATAGGCCACCGCCCCGCTCGACGTTATGCTAATCAAGGCCAACAATTTTTATGAAATTTTTATAATTTAGTAATCAGTATTTACATGAAGCAAACAAACTTTTTCAAATTTATTTTAGTTTGAATAATTCTACCATCATCCCTAATATATATGTCTAGAGGGTAGTCAAATGGTTTATAAAGTCTTGATATAGTTATTAATAATGTCTTACCTTTTCCAGTGGCAACAGCATTGTCTCCCACTGTTACTCTCATGATAAAGGTAGGCTCATGTACAGCTCCTTCATTGGCTATGAGATCATACTGAGGTGTGATTGCATGCTTAGTAGCATACTCCTGTAGGTAGCTAATGGGTGTCTTTCCAGGAGGAACAGTCATCTAGAATGATAATCATTTTTTTACATATTTTTTAATAAAGTCTATAATTCCTTATTAGTAAACTTCACTACACCAAGATTATAAATAATTGTCGGAATGGACTTGCCTTTTTTATTCTACCAATATTGTAATTTATAGAGTACCCAGAAGGAGAGATAACAATTTTTAATAATTTACAAACGTTAAAATAAGATCACTGGTTATTAAAGAAGATGGCTTTTAATTTACAATGTTAAATCAGCCTTTATATTATAGCAAGAGTATAGACCTTTAACGTAGCCAAGGGAAGAGAGGAGGCAGGCGCTTCCTCTGTGACAATTTTTATAAAAGTGGGGCCTTTTAAAAAATATGTCACTTTTTTTCCTATGCATCTTAAAAAATAATTTTTGTGTAAAACTTTTGTTTAATTTTTTTTAAAAATGTTTTCCATCAGTTTTCTGAAAAAAAATTACTTAAGATGACTTTACGCAATATTAACAAAGTGCAATGCATCTCTCTGCTCGTCTTGTCATGTCTTCAGTTGCAGCGCAAATCATAAGTCACCTTGCGGACGTGGCAGAATGACAGGAAATTTTTTGTGTGACTTATTTTTTAAAAAATACCTTCAAACTACTTATTTTATTTTTAAAAATCTCTTATCAGACCTGTTTACCCTCAAACTCTAAAAATCGTACAACATCATCACAAAAGCGTTCAATACATTATCTTAATAGTAAAAAAATAAACAAACAGTATATAAAATGTATACACCTCAAAATCGTAAGAGTAAACAGGTCTGTCTTATTAATGAAGTATTTTAAACAAATAAATAGTTTTAATCAAAATAATAAGCATTACTGTTTGGTAACAACTAAAATTACAAGTTTTGTATTATCACATTCAGATCAGAGAACCTAAATTTCCACTAGCATTTCTTCTTTTGATCTCTGTGTAGAATGCTGCAAAAATAATTTTCAGTATTTCAAAATGCTTCCCTGTATTGTGAATCATAAAAAAATTCTGAGAAGCAGACTAATCCTCCTCTGCAGACCCCCACCCCCATTCCCCCCAATCAAATTCAAAGTCCAGGAACCCAATTATTATAAAAATGTTTATTATATATGTGTGTAAAGGTGCCACTTAAATATCTAACTTTATGCTATAATGTAACACACAATAGTGTGCTCTAGGGTCACTGAGATAGATCAGGTAAACCCCAGGTTATAGCATGTACACACCCACAAAACTCTATGGTCAAACGTAATAGAAAGAGATGTGTTGCAACCTAAATCAGGCAGCAAATACTAGCTAAAGTCATCCGTGTTGACTGACATCAAGTCTACACTGAAACTGTATCCCGTGTTGACTGACATCAAGTCTGCGCTGAAACTGTATCAGGAAGGACCGGATGTTAGGGTAAAAGGGGGGGGGGGGGGGTGGCGCAGATGTAGCCTCAGACTGTCATCTATTGATTGTCAAACTAAGGCCTAAACTGAAAAAGAACAAGACAAGTGAGGGAAGCAACCGCCAACGTTTTAACACCAATCTCTTGAAAGACGAATACAAACTAAATGAGTTTAAACTTACTATCTCCAACAAGTTACAGATCTTACAAGAACTAGACAATGAGGAAACAATTTACCAAAATTGGAAAGACATCAAAGAGATATTCATGACTACCTGCAAAGAAGTGTTGGGCCCTAGGCAACAAACACATAAAGAATGGATTTCTGCTGAAACCATGGGAAAATCCAATAAAGGAAAATGAAGGCAAATCTAAACAATAGCCGCACCACAACTGAAAAGGTCTCAGAGCATCAGCAGAATACACAGAAGCAAATAAAGACGTAAAATGTAGTATAAAGACAGATAAAAAGAACTACATAGAAGGATTAGCAAGTGACGCAGAAGAGGCAGCTTACCATGGAAACACAAGAGAATTATTCAGTACAATCAAAAAGTTATCTGGAAAGTTCAACAATCCAGAGAGACCAGTTAAAACTAAGGTAATCTACCACTTCAGCGTCGGCCAAGAAAAAATCCAGTTGTTCCGTTTGGAAGAGCTATTTAAACAACTGTTCTTACTTTGGAGTCTGTCAATATTTTTGCTTCTGTATAGAGGCTATAAAGTTATATAGCACAATACTAATACATTTAAATAATGATTACTGCCAAGCTACCGATATGCCAGGAAGAAAAAGAGACAACAATTATTTTTTTTTAACCCAGATAACGCGGATGTCCACACACAGAATGTGGAAAACGTGAATGCTCAGAAAGCTTAAACTGAAAAGACAGTTTGGCACAAGATGCGCCGGTGATCTTTCCCCTTCATATTTACGTGGATTCATGTACCACAACCGTTTTCGTGGAAATTATATTTTTTTTAAACTTCATTGTCAACTTGGGGGAGAACTATGCATAATTCCATGTTCACACATTATCTTCTATTTCAAAAAAATTGTTATAGTTTTTCTAATTTAAAAAAATTGTCTATTATTATGGGAATGAATACGTACAACCAATGTCATTAAAAATAATATAAGAATAGTTGTTTAAATAGCCCTTCAAACAGGAACAGCTGGCCAACGCTCAAGTGGTAGATTACCAAAACTAAATATGGGAAATCACTATCTGATGAACATGATCAGAAAAAAAGATGGAAATAGCATTTTGAAGAACTCCTCGACCGGCCAACCCCACAACACACACTCAACATAGAGCTAGCAGAACAAAATTTAGAAATAGATTGCAGCACACCCACAAAACAAGAGATATGCAGAGCAATTAAACAACTAAAGAAAGGCATATTTGTCCAAAAGAATACTGACAGAAGCCCTGACAGCAGATATTATGACTAGCACTGAAATACTACACACGCTTTTCAAGAAAATATGGGAGAAAGATCAGATACCGTTTGGGTGGAAAGAAGGACACCTCATTAAGCTGCTGAAGAAAGGAGACCTTAGTTCTTGCTCTAACTATAGAAGAATAACCCTGCGAAGTATTCAACAGAATGCTGCTAAACAGAATGAGGGAGGCAATAGATGCCCATCTTAGGGACCAACAAGCAGGTTTCAGAAAAGACAGATCCTGCACAGACCAGATTGCCATACTGAGAATTATAATGGAAAAATCCCTGGAGTGGAACTCGCCACTCTACATAAACTTTAATTACTATAAGAAGCCTTTTGATAGTGTAGACAGACAGACTCTGTGAAAGCTGCTAAGACACTACGGGGTACCACAAAAATTGACAGACATAATTAAGGCTTCTTACCAAGGACTATCGTGCATAATTTTTCATGGCCAACAAGCAACTGCAGCTTTTGGGGTACAGACCGATGTCAGACAGGGGTATCTGCACTCGCCTTTCTTATTCCTGCTCACCATTGATCGGATAATGAAAATGTCTACAGAGCAGAAGATAAATGGTATCCAGTGGACACTATGGAAACAGCTTGATGACCTGGATTTTGCAGATGATCGGGCCCTATTATCACACACACAGCAAGAGAAAACCAATTATGTAGCAGAGTACTCTGCTTGCATTGGCCTGAACATACATAGAGGAAAAAGCAAAGTCCTTAAAATAAATACACCAAGCAACACACCTTTAGTACTGGAAGGAACAAACCTTGAGGAGGTGGATGGCTTTACATGCCTCAGCAGCATCATTGACATACAAGGAGGGACAGACACCGACATAAGAGAGAGAATTGGCAAAGCAAGAACTACATTTAACCAGCTAAAAAAAAGTCTGAAGCTGCAGCAACTTGAACCTCCAGACCAAGGTCAGGATAATCAACACCACAGTGAAATCTGTCTTGCTATTTGGAGCAGAAACATGGCGAACAACAGCAGCTGGTTCAAAAAAGCTACAGACGTTTATCAACTCATGTCTCCGAATGATTCCATGAATCCGCTGGCCCAACGTCATCACCAACGAGGATCTCTGACGGCGCACACAACAAGAACCAGTGGAAGAGTTAGCCTGCCAGCGCAGATGCCCCAGATGGGATGACAAGTGATGATGATGAACACTTAGCTTGTATGGGGCCTAAATAAAAATATTAAATTTATAATTTATATATAGTATAAGTATATTACTAAGACAAGACAACTAAGTCAATTAGAAGTATCAGTATCATCTGATTCCTAGACTAGGACTAACTAGGTGGGTCCAAGTACAACAATTAAATTGCCAGCTTCTCCTTTTCTATAACATGCAATGGAAAATATGATCCTATAGCCTATGTGGTAGTGATAGTGCACTGCCTTCTTCAACCGTTTGTCAAGAAATAACCCACTGAAAGGAACAAGAAGTTGCTAGATCCCGGAATACAGATCAAGTTGTACCCGTCAACAGAGAAGGTACTGTCGTTCATTTTGAAACAAAGACTTAAAAAACAATAGTCGCAGTATAACAAAAATAGCAATACTAGTGCTATACTGTACCAGGCTACAGAAAAGACTCACAGGCGCACACATCCCTGAAATGAAATGATGGCCAATGACTCCATTCTGTGTTCTGCCCCAGAACAAAGATGTGAAAAAAACAATGACATTTTTTAAAAAAGCATTCACATTCTTTGTCTAAAGTTTAAGTTTAAAAAGTCAACCTATAACTATAAATAATAATAACAAAAGAGTTCAGACTCAGTGACTCAGACCTTACATTAATCATCATGAAGCTCACTGTGTGACAGAGGTACTCAACAATAACAACACCAAATAATAGTTGCCTCACCCTAAAGAAAAAAAATCAACCTAGTGACTGAAGTTCAGCCGTCTACCATGAAGTTGGGCCTGGCTGCCAGCCTTTTTTGTCCACTTAGACTCAGAACTGCCGAGTACTAACATTTATAAAACGTGGAGTTCGGAGTTGGGGCGGTTTTGAAGAGGATGCAGGTCACAGGGGACAGCAGAAGTAAAATATATATTAATAATATATAAAAAAAGAGATTGTTAAATTAAATTGTTATTAATAAGCCGCTGCGCTCTTAAAATTAATAAGACCAAGTTCACCAAGTCAGTAGTATAACTGCAGCAAAGACCGTGACCAAACCTCAGCCAAACCAAGAAACAAGTAAAACTAAAATGCGAACAATAATAAAATAAACATTACTGACATTACTACATCAATTCTCAAAGTAAGTAGGTTCAAGTTCAGGTTAGATCACATAAATACAAGACATTTGTTTTTTTAAAAGAATACTACCTTATTTACTGAGTATATTGTATTTTACGTTATCCACAGTACTAATCCTAAATCTATTCGTTTTTCATGTATGATAAACCGGCAGGATGTTTATAGGTGTTAGTTTTTTTAATGTTTTTTTTTCATAATGGGTGCTCACAGCTGGCATTCGAAATCATTCTGACATTATACGTGAAATTTGTATGACAGGGTAAATGTAGACTAAATTATTTTTCGCTGTAACTGACAATTTTTACTTTAATAATCTTTAAACTGGTCAATTTATATTATTTTTATATTAATATAATATAAACCAATATGTTAAGTCTCGTAATTTTTCATTAAATATTTACTATTAAAAATGTAATTAATTTTAAAAATCTAAAATGACCAGTAAAAAAATCTAAATCTGGGAACATTTTTTAAAAAAAAAAGGGGGGGGGACTGCTATTCAAATGGATAGCGTTTATTTCGAAGTAATAAGGGGGAGATATCTCAATCAGATTAGCAAAAAAGGAAATGTGATTTTAAAAAAAGTATGTGGAAACCTGAAAAAGGAACACAACAAAACAAAAAAGTGTGGGAAGGAAGCCTTCTTCAGCGAACAAAAAACAGAATTAAACAAAAAATAGCAGTTAGGGGTTTCCATTAATTATGTCAACAAAATATGGGGGGAGGGGTTTGGAAATATTTGACGATTGTTGGGGGGAGGGGGTTAGATTAGTTGATGACAAGAATCAAGTTTTTTCTATTTGAATTTTTATCCTAAAAATTGACTGGTTACTATATTATTTAAACAAATTTAATGAGTGTAAATTAAAATATTCATATAATTTTTAGTTCTATAAAATTTTAACTATTAACGTGTTGATTAACAAGCTAAAGATGCTATAACATGTTTTTCCTACAATTTTGTGTTATTAAAATAGATCAGCACAAAGTAAAATATATTTAGATCTATATATTTATTTAAATTATATTTCATTTTTTAGGGGGTGGGGGTATATAAATGTTGACATAATTACTTGGGGGGGGCACGTCATGGGGGGTCATTGAAAGTTTGACCATTGTTGACAAAGGGGGGGGGGGGGAAAAATTGCTTTAAAATTTGTGGGGGTATATAAATGTTGACATAATTACTTGGGGGGGGGCACGTCATGGGGGGTCATTGAAAGTTTGACCATTGTTGACAAAGGGGGGGGGGGTCAAAAATTGCTTTAAAATTGTTGAAGTAATTAATGGACGCCCCTTAGCTGAAAAGTAGTACCCGAGAGGACAGCACAAAAATTGCTCCCACGACTTTTTATTTAATTATTGTGATAAATTCTACCAAACCATTAGATCTACCTTTTTAGACTAATCATATTTAAAAAATCTTCCAAAGGACTTTCTGAGGGAGGTGTAACATGGGCATTTTAAAAATATGTTTTAAGCACCAGCCGTATAAATAGAACACATTAGTGCACGCACATCTACAGTGGTAATATAGCGCTATTTACTCGCACGTTGAAGAGTACCTATCGTTTACATGACAGTTGCAGTTCTTGTTCGACATACACAATGATAATACCTCATTGTAGCTGAAGTCTTACGATATTTTATTACCTGTTATTAACGAACACAGTTAAAAAAGAGAACCACGAATGGCGGGGGGTAAAAGGGACAAAAAGGACAAAGGTTACTAACGTGAATTTACTAAATTAAAATGACTAAACTTAATTAAACTAGCCTAAATTACGACGTTTTGTTTAAAAATTAAGTTTAGTCTTCTTAGTCTTAGTTATAATTATAGTTATAGTATACTAGTATACTAATACTATGTATAGGTGGATTTAAATTTTATACTCTAAGTTAGTAGAGTCTATAACGATGACTACAAATTATAGGCTTACCCATGTCATACTCGTAGTTAAGTATACTCGTACAACATAACTATAAATAATCACTACAAGTACAAGCAGTGGCGTAACGCTAGGGTAGTGACACCTGGTGCAGTAAACTCATGTCATGAGTGTCATGTTGCATACCCCCGACTTCCACGATGGATTTCTTCTTTTTAAAATAAGTCCTCAGTATAACAATTCCAAGAACAAAAATAAATTAATTGAAGGTCAGGAAGTAATTGTATTTAAATTTAAGAACTGTAGCAACGTTAAATTATAGTTAGGACTACTTTTACATTAAATGTACTTTATTTAAAATTTTTATTTCCTGTTCTTCAAAGCTGCAAACCTCTCAATAACTTGTCATTTTTTAATTTTGACAGATTTGATTCATGTACTGGTACTTAGAATCGCCGAAGCACATCATAATTAGGTATCAATGGAAAGTAGGGGTGTGCCGGATTCCGGTCCAGAATCCGGTTCCGCCGGATTTTGCACTATCCGGTGAAATCCGGTTCCGCCGGATTTACATGTATCCGGAACAACCGGATTCCGGAATCCGGAATATACCGGATTTCGGAATTTGCCAGATTTTGTGACTCACCGGATCATAATCTGAAATAAAAGTAATTCTCTTTCCCGAATTCCACACGATCACGATACATTAATCGATTGTTTCGAGCGTTGAGCTTGTTTTATGTTTAATATTCCGTACATACCAGAGGCTAGAGTCAGCACCGCTAATAGTGGCCAATAGTGTAGGGACTTTGATTAGAAAATTTAAACTTTTTGTAAAAATAAACCAATGGCATAGTTGAAAAGATGTAATTTTTTAAAGAATTATAACACCAAAATCATATATTTAGCTGTTGTAGTTTTAAAGTTATGAATTTTTAAAGTACGACTTGGTTTGTCATTTTTTAACATGGACTGCATCTCCACATTCTGTGATCTCATTCCACCAATCCCGTCATGCGCAATGACTATATAGTTTATATAAGGCAACGCATTCCCTGCCTTATCACTAAAATACTGTTTAGACTTAGTTTAAACTTTCAACTTTGGCACATGAATAATTAATTAAAGCTTTCCCTGACCAATGGTTTAATAGTTTTTGCACACGGCAAACTCTTATGAATGAAACTCTGAGGTAGTACTACGATACAGTTATGCAAGTGGCTGTGAATGGTTGCCAATGACAACGTGTTGCACACGGTAAATTCTGATCATTTATAATATGGATTCTACCGGGTTGTTAAAGCTCAAATTAAAACATTCCAGTTTAAATGTCTTTAAATGCATTCTGAAACACAAGTTATCAATTATTTTGATGTAAATAGTGATAATATATTAATATTTCCTAAGTATCGTCAACTTCCGCCATTAAAAAGGGGGGCGTGGCCAACCCCATGGCGAAATTAGGTTGAGCGAGCTGCATGACCTGCTGCGAACGCGTAGAAACATGGCGTCTCTCGTAAGACACTTATCCAAATGGAACGGAACTCAAATATATATCGAAAGTACTAATTTAATAATAAATAGACACACACATCGGAAAATTAAAAACTCGGATTTTTTGGCGCCGATTGCGAATTCCCATACACAAAAAGTAGTAGTCCACCTTGACTTACCGAAGTATCTACCAATAGTACCAAAATCCGGATCCGGCGGATTTCGCATAAGAAAATCCGGATCCGGTTGGAAAAAACGGATCCGGCACACCCCTAATGGAAAGCTTTATTTCTCAGAGTTTAGATAAATATAGTATCCTGTCACTTACAAAAGAAGTTACCAAACACTTCAATCTGTGTTGAATCATGGTCAAAACAGTGTTTTTCTGACCTAATTATAATTATAGGGGTTACCTCATTTCTGACATATCAACCTTGAACTTTTAATGAAGCACACATTTGGATTGTTTACATGTGTGCAAAAATGCATGTGCGATCGGTTAACCTTTTATGAAATTCGGTTAGACTGAGCAGTGTGTTTTTCAAGTTGCTGTTACACCCCCCCTCCCCCCTTTCGCAGATTATGTCACGCCAGTGCTGTCCGCACCCACCTAGCTATGCTACAGATTACAAGCCTTATATCTAGACCTAAGCCAGGGGTCAGAAACATTTTTGAAACTTCTTTTTCACTTTGACTTTATGATTTTTATAGGCCCATGCATGTGCTCCTCTTTTAATGGGGGAGGTTTTGGAGTATCAGCATGGAAGCGATTCTGGTAAATGTTGGTTTGGCGCGCTGTAAAATATTTGTTTGATTAAATGTAAAACTATTCACTGGCTATTTACAGATGCAGCGTGGTGGTGTTGATGGATACAAAGTACAAACTCCAACGCCCAATAATGAAGAGTTTTATTTCCACTATACATCTGGTTCACAAGTAGTAGGTTAGGCTTGAACATACATGAATAGAATAAATTATTTCCTCAGCTGACTAACTCCTGCTCAAAGGACGATCTCTCTTTCCAAATAAACCACAAGGTCCAGAAAACTCAAGCTCTCGACATCCCTTAAATCGTTCTCTTGATCTCTTGATAACTCACAGTGTTTATACTCACTCATTCTAAACGCTCACACAGATTTGAACCTTGGGACATGGACTTTCGCTCACTGCAATTTAAGCAGCTCACTTAACCTAATTATTATGCATTGCTCATCTCTTTTAAACCCATCCTTGAAATATCATAAGAGTTCACGTAAATAATTAGAGTTCACTTAACCAACTTATTAAATAACTCAATACACCCCTCACCTATGATTCCATGACCTTAACACGAACGACTTACCAGTATTTCTCACAGCCGCCATCATGGTGGCCATATTTGCAAACACATGTCTGCTAAAATGGGGAGGGGAAATGGAGAGAATTGGCTGGTTTAGCTATTTACAGAGAGAAACAAAAATAGGAACAAGATGTTAAAAGCTAATGAAAAAATTTCAGCTGGTACATTAACTTCATCTTTGTGGCGAATGAAACTACTTTATTCTATCCCTCTAGGTATACAGCTAGAAGTCTTAACAACCTGTGGTCAGCCCCCTTTCTTGCCGGTACATTAATTTTGTGGCAAATGAAGCTACTTTTTTGTATTCCAGTAGATACGCTGCAAGAAGTCTCAATCTCTGGTCACCCCCTTTCCTGGCATAACTTCAGCCTGTACATTAATTTTGTGGTGAACAAAGCTACTTTATTGTATCCGTCTAGCTATGGTTCAAGAATTCTCAACAACCTGCGGCTGCTCTCTTCCCTCAACTAAAACTTGGGTATTACAGTTAAACACTGTGTTATGCCCCCTATTGTGTTCAATGAATGTGAACAAGCTCATGGTCTAGGGGTTTTGAAAAGGGGGCTAATACAGGTAGATTTTAGACACACTATTGGCTAAAATAAAGACAATCAGTGCTCTATATAAATGTTCTTTATTATATTGATTAGAATATGAACAAAGATACATGAAATCTACATATAATGAAATGAATCCAGGTCTAACACTAACAATATCTAACCTCACAGTAAAAATAATATTAACAATACTATCACAAGTCTAAGTTCCTGGAATTAATATTTCAACTAACTATGGAATGGCCCTATCAAGTACTTAGCAAAATGCAACGGAAGACTTGTCACGCCTCGATATGCTCATCGTTTTATCGTTTGGTCTCTCCCTGTAGGGGTGATGTGCCAGTCTTATATACTCATTTCGCATTGCATTGACCTTAAAGTAGGTCAGTGTCCGCGTAATCGTTTTTTGTTGTGTCTTTGTTCGTACAAAGACGTTATGCTTCCTGGCTGTGGTATTCTAAACCGGCCATGTTAATGGGGTACCTAAAGAAAAGGGTCCAACCTCGTAAAAACTGTGATAAGGAAAGTGTACAAATGAAGAAAAAATTCAAAATATTTTTGAAGTAATGAAAACCCATTTTTATTGTATACACTTTTACACGCTTTATTGCAGGTTCCACCCAATATAAAATCCAAACGTTTTCAGAAAAATCAATAGTCAGTACAATTCCCATTTTCCAAAATGCTTGGAAAATTTAAATATTATAATTAGCCACCCAATCAAATTATAATTTAAAATTTTTTATAAAGAACAGTAAAGTTAACTCTCCAAGAATAAGCAAAAGGGATAGAATCCTACACTGAAACTCAAAGTGTTACGCCATAAGTGTTACAACATAAGCCGAGCTTTTTAAAAATTTATTTTGAACCTTGAAATTTTTAAAACAACTTTTTTTTAAACTTATAGATATCATTTTGCTTTTTCTTATAAGTTATAAACTTAATTGAATTTCATACTTTGTCAATGGTCAGATTTAGTTTAGCCTATAATTTGTAATGCTTCATAAAGAAAAGGCAAGTTATCCCACAATTAGTTCAGGTCGAACACTTCACCTCGTCACTGTAAGTTGAGTGTTGTGATTCCCCGGCTCAAAGTGATGTGACTGTGCTTAGGGTGAGACAACTTTTGACAAAAGCCATCCCGCTAACCCAAGCTATTCAGCCCTTATCTGCTAAAATAAATCTTTTGAGAGCAGCAGGAAGGGGGTGGAATTGAAAAGAAAATGTAACTTCTAATATTTTTAATTTAGAAACTACATTGAAAAAAAACAAACAACTAGGCCTAGGACCTAAAATTAAATTATTTATTCACTCATTTTATTGTAGCATTTTCTTGAATGCTACTCAAAACACAGGCTTGGGTTTGGGTATGAGTTTGACAATGACTTGTTACATGAAAATTTATTTTCTCCTACTACTACTATGATTAAAACATTTTTTTTTTAATCAAACAACATAAGCCTAATTCATTTATCTTGTATCAGGCTATGTATAAGTTAAATTTTTAATAATGGAAAAAAGCTGAATTTATTCCTTTAAACTGAAAATGCAGATATACTTGCTATTAACTCTTAGATTTAAATTCTCAGGATTTAATCAAAATTTCTGTTTTTTTTTTGTCAGAAGAAAGGAAATCTAAGAAAGCAAAATATGAGGCTGAAATCAATGATGATGATGATGAGGAAGATGAACAAATTGACAAAGGAGGTAATTTTAAGATTTTACAAAACATAAAAATGATGAAGGTCACACAAATAATTTACTAATTTTAATATAACAACATCTTATGAAGTAAAAGTTAAAAAAGTATAAAAGTCAAATTCACCATTTAATATATTAAATAAATAAACATTTTAATGTAAATAGCTGTATTTTAATATAGCCATTAATAATAATTGTATTTTATTATAATTTATAACCATCATAAAATAAGTTATAGAAGTTGTTTTGGGGGAAATTTTAAATTTATATTGAGCAAAAAGTACAAATAGTCACCACAAAATTTGCTATTTTAAATAGCTGTCCCAGCATCAGCATCTCGTGAATGTGTTGAAGTGGCACCCCAGGATGAATTTGGTGCTCAAGATTACAGGCAGTCTTTGGAATTAAAACAAGATCATAAATCAAGACCAATTTGGATTGTAAATATTGTTTTCTATAATATTATTAAGCAGGCATATTTTATTAAAAACTAAATTAAGACTTTAAAATTTCACATCATTCAATTTTACAAGCATTAAAATTGTTGTCTCAAATGAAAAATCTAATTTTTGTCTCCATATTGAATTATGAATTAGATTTAAAATGAATATTTTGTTAATTATAGTTAAAAAAATTTGATGTTATTTAGTGGAACCAGATCAAAGTTGTATTAAAATTTCCTCTTTTTTTTTTTTTACATCATTCCAGGCCCCAAATGGGCATGTATTTTTGGAGTCCTTTTCTCCTGTTTATCGGCATGCCCATGACTTTCTTATTGCCATATCTGAGGTAAACTATGTGATCTATTATATATACTATATATAAAAGTCTAAATAAACTAAGTAGAACAGATTTATTATAAATAAATATATATTTTATCTAGTAACATAAAGATCAATACATTTAAATCGTAAATTTTAGGATTACCTCTTTACTACCATTTTTTACTATATTCACAGCCTGTTTGCAGACCAATTCATGTCCATGAGTACAAACTTACAGCATATTCTCTCTATGCAGCTGTATCGGTGGGACTACAAACAAATGATATCATAGAGTATCTACGAAGGTTGTGTAAAACAACACTCCCCAGTGGTATTGTAGAGTTTATTAAAGTAAGTTTTGACTAATTTTTTGTGTCATTAACTTGTTATCCTTAAAAATTAGACATTGAAATTCACTTAAAAATTGTTGTCATAGCTGTTTTGGCAGTAGCTTTTTGTTTATAGCCACGTGTGGCCATCCAAGCCACTGCAATGGCCACGTTTCCTAAAAAGGATGCCAATAACTTCTGTAGAATTATATTTGGAATAAAAAAATATTTTTATGACAACACTGCCCACAATTAAAATTTTTAGGGATAAAAAAAGTTTTTCACCAACACCATTCAAAGGGACATTTTGTAATCCTTCTAATTTACACAAATTGTTTAAAACGCTCAAACAAAATCAACTATCCTAATATGTCTCAATTATTTTTAAACGTAACATGACGTCTTACATTGTGGTGGAAGCTTCAAATAAAAGATTTACAAATTAAAGTAGTGAAAATGAAAGATTCAGATGACCACTTGTGGCCATTGATTAACATATTGCCCAATGCAGTTTATAGCATATAACAATTTTTCTCAGTTTCTGCACATAAACTCTTTAAATTTTGATGAAAATATTTATATTTATTGCTTTTCTTAGCACTTTTAATCATTTTTCTTACTTATTAGGGGGGCTTGTGTTAAATTAACATGTTAATTATTAAAAATTGAATTTTTTTTACTGGAGCTTTATTAAATTCTTTCTTTAAAAAGAAACTCCAAAGAAATATTCAATTCAGCCTGACATTTATTAGTGTGTCTTTTTAAGAGAAAAAAAAATGAATATAGTTATTTTAATGCATCTCCCCAATACAATTAAAGTAATTATAAGCATCATTTTTCTCAGCTGTGTACTTTGAGTTATGGGAAAGTCAAACTAGTCCTCAAGCACAACAGATACTTTGTTGAGAGCCAGTACCCAGTAAGCTGGAGTCAAGTTATATTTTTTAAATTTATATTATTAATAATATTACATTTTTAATTCATACCATTATACAAAAACTATATGTATAAGCTTATTTTTCTAGGATCTATGCCAGATTATAACTATTACTTGTTTTTTGTGCATTAATTCCAAATGGTGTAGAAATTTTCAATTTGTCAGTTATGCTCATGCATTAAAATACCTTTAAATGATCTAACATTTGTATTAATCATTTTTAATTCATTATATGCACAGATTTTAATTAACTCCTTATTATTTAATACTTAATCTTTTCTTTAAGGATGTTCTCCAAAAATTGTTAAAAGATCACATCATTCAGTTAACTAGAAAGAGAGAACTAGAGGATGGGGAAGCATCAGATGAACTAATTGCTGGTCAGCTTTATGGGAAATCTGCCCTTCAGGTACTTTACTGTTTGACTTGTTTGAACCATTCCAGTCAGCATACAGGGCGCATCACTCTACTTAGACAGCCTTGTTGCGCGTCGTAAGTGATGAGGGCCAGGTATCGATTTTGTCTTTACTCGATTTATCGGCAGCTTTCGATACGGTCGACCACGGCATACTGCTCCAGAGTCTGCAACAAACGTTCGGTCTCACTGATACCGTCCTGTGTTGGTTCCGATCGTATCTGACTAAACGGGTGCAGTCAGTTATTTCAAACGGCTTGACCTCGAAGAAATCTAATATCGAATTCGGAGTGCCCCAGGGCTCGGTCCTAGGCCCGGTGCTTTTCACGATGTACATTCAGCCCCTGGGTGCAGAGATCAGGCAGTTTGACATGTTGTATTACATGTTCGCGGACGATACACAACTTCATCAATCCGTGATCCCTTCTCAGTTCCCTCAGCTGCTCAGTATGACACAGAAGACAATGGAGTCGGTTAAGCACTGGATGACCATAAACAAGCTCAAATTAAATGATGATAAGACTGAGCTGCTCCCCATCGCGACCGCTCAGAAGCAAAAATCTGCAAATAACACGACATCCATTACTCTCTCAGGTGTGCGTATTGCGGTACCTGGGTGTCTACCTAGATAGAAGACTAACTTTTGAAAGTCATATTAACATGCTATGCAGGGCGATTTTTCTGGAGCTGCGCAGGATTAGTCAAATCAGGCCCTTCCTAACAATTGATACAACAAAGAGGCTGATGTCTGCATTTGTGCTATCACGCATGGACTATTGCAATGCTCTCATGGTGGGTCTTCCAGCTACGCTACTGGATAAAATTCAAATAGCACAGAATAATGCGGCTCCCATTGATCTCCGTAAACGCAAGTTCGACCATGCAAAAACACTTCTGAGAGAGTTGTATTGGCTGCCGGTGCGTGCTCACATAGAGTACAAAATCGCAACTTTGTGCTACCGCTGCTTACATGATCTGGCGCCGTCCTATCTGAAAGAGCTGCTGATGCCTTATGTACCCACTAGAGAGCTCCGCTCATCCGATAGTGGCAAACTCTCGACACCACGTGTTTGCCTTGAGACTTACGGAAAGCGCATTTTCGCATTTGCTGTTCCAAGAATTTGGAACGCCCTTCCTGTCGATCTCAGAAACATCCAGACACTGGAGTCCTTTAAAACCGATTTAAAGACACATCTATTTCGCAAACACCTTCTGGGATGATTGTCTACCTTATTTTCCAGTTAATGCAAATTGGATGTGTTGCTTAGGGTTGAAATGGCTAGAATGACTTTGCCATTGTATGCTTGTAATTAGTTTTTGTAGTGTTGCGTTTGTTTTAAATGTGGTAAATTATAGATTTGTTTTTGTTGACTTTATATCGCGCTTCGAGCCTTTGGAGATGAAGCGTGTTTTTGAAATGAACTTTATTATTATTATTGTTATTTTTAACTACCTTTTGAGCAAAAAACATGTTTAAAATTCTTTTCATGAGTTTCTAATAATTTTAAGAAATCAAAATGTTAAACTGTGTTATTTTATAATAATTTTTAAATATTTCAAATAAATATTGAAAGCACTAAGACTTTAGTACTTTTTGTTCAATCCTGTCATATATTTCAACAGCTTAACAAGCCTGTTTCCAAGCCTGGAGATTTACAAGCGGGCACATCAGCTGGAGTTAATGGTGCAACTGGGGAAGCCAATGAAGATGTCCCTGATGATATATTTGAGTTGTATGACAAGATGGACAAAGAAGATGATGATGAAGATGAAGCTCAGTTGAAAACTGTGTCATTTGAAGTTAATCCTGAAGAAATTGAGACCTTGCAAAAGAGGTTGTTAATTTAATTTGATTAGTATTTAATTTTTCATTTATGAACAGAGAGTAATCTTAATTTGAGAAAACATGCTTGTGAACATAATTGCTGATGTAACACCCAGGCATATTATACCATGAATATTAAACATAGTCTATAATGAGTCAAAACATTTTGAGGATGCTGTACAAATTATCATTAATTACGTTTTTTTTTTTTTTTAAATTATTATCTATTGTGTCATTACCAGATGTATTGAATTGGAACACCCACTTTTGGCAGAGTATGACTTTAGAAATGATACTTTAAATCCAGATGTAAAGTAAGTTAACTTTATATACTATTTAAGATATAAAGAACCTGATTTTATGTATATTATTTTTAATCCATTCGTTGCTTTCTCTTCATCATCATCCTGATCTGGTAGCCCTTTGGTAATATTCTCTTCAGCCTGACATATTTTTTTAATTTAAAAAATATGTTGGCAGTGTTATTTTTCAATGTTGACTTGCTATTCACTACATTTCTAGTATTGATTTGAAGCCATCCACTGTGCTGAGACCATACCAAGAGAAAAGTCTCCGTAAAATGTTTGGTAATGGGAGAGCAAGATCTGGTGTAATTGTTTTACCTTGTGGTAAGCCATTTTTTCTTGGTTATTTAGTTTAACATGTATAAGATATTTTATTATATGTAGTATTTACATTTTATCTTGATATATATTTATATATATATTCATATTTCTAAGAATAAAAAGTGTATACGGTAACATAAATTTACTGTAAGAAAATTGTATCTATTAGTACTATTAGGTTTTAAGCATACAATAATTTGTAAAAAAAATTTTTTAAATTAAAAATTTGTAGGTGCTGGTAAAACATTAGTAGGTGTGACAGCTGCCTGTACTGTACGAAAACGGTGTATTTGCCTGGCTACATCTGGTGTTGCTGTTGAACAATGGAGGTCCCAGTTTAAAATGTGGTCTACAGTTGATGATAGCTTAATATGCAGGTTCACTTCTGATGCCAAAGACAAACCAATGGGTAAACATTCTATCTCTCCTTGGTCATTCATTTAAGAAAAATTAGTTGATAATGAAAAATATTCAAAGATTTTTAAAATATTTTTTTAATAAATAATGTAAACTTTAAAAATATTTTATATCATTTATTCTAGGCTGTGCCATTTGCATAAGTACTTACTCTATGTTGGCCCACTCCACCAAACGTTCATATGAAGCAGAAAATGTTATGAAATGGCTCAAGACTCAGGAATGGGGTTTGATGGTGCTTGATGGTAAGGTATATACTTCCTTTTTGTGTTTCTTTTTTTTTAGCCATTTTTTTTATTTCAATGGTTTGTGTATAATTCATGCATTGAAATTACTTTTTTTAATTCAAGAATGTTGCAAAAACTCTAAAGCCTCGTATCATTTACTAATTTCTAGAGGTACAAACTATCCCAGCTAAAATGTTCCGTCGTGTACTAACCACTGTCAATGCTCATTGCAAACTTGGACTGACTGCCACCCTAGTCAGGGAGGATGACAAAATTGCTGATCTTAACTTTCTTATTGGCCCCAAGTTATATGAAGCAAATTGGATGGAGTTACAGAATTTGGGCTATATTGCTAGAGTCCAATGTGCAGAGGTTTGTAATTAATTTTACTTATTGAAATTTAACATTAAAATATTAAACCCACAAGCATTTTCTATGAGAAACAAACTTACAATTTAAACATTTGTTTAGTAAAATGTTTTAAAATCTGTTTGTCAATATTTTACAGGTTTGGTGTCCAATGACCCCTGAGTTTTACAGAGAATATCTTTCAATGAAATCTCAAAGAAAACTGGTATGGTATATTATATAAAAAAAATTTTTTTTAAATTTTCAATTCATGTTTATTTTATTTTATGTTTTTGTTTGGTATTAATTTTTTGTCTTCCAAAATCTTATTTTGTTATCTTTCTATTGTTCCACAAATTGTTCATTGTTTTTAAAATTGTGTTTGCTTGCATGAATTTTTTTTAAATTCTAAGAAGGCATTATCAATTTTTTTTTAAATGGTATGGTTTCTCTCCAACCTGTAAATTTCACCACAAAGAACAGCTATATATATATTGGCCAATAATAATAAACTATGTCTCCTTTTTTTGTGTTATAGTATTTTTTATAGTAAAGCTTAGGGAGATTTTTTCTCACTTGTAAAAATATGTAAATTATCAGTCTCAGGTACATATAATTAGCCATAGCAATGTACTCTAACTCTTTCTGCCTCTTGGTTTCAGCTTTTGTCAACTATGAACCCTAATAAATTCAGGGCATGTCAGTTTCTCATCCGATATCATGAAAGACGTAATGACAAAATCATTGTTTTTTCTGATAATGTTTTTGCTCTGAAGCATTATGCTGTCAAACTAAACAAGTAGGTCATGTTGTACCAATGTTGTTTGAGGTTGTTAACTATATGCATCTTATTATCAAAAGAATCCAAGTCAGTCATTCAGGACACCCAAATAAGTATTTCATTAGTTATGCCAATAACACTGACCAACAATGATTTTGGTACTGAAAGTAGAACATATGAGTTGTTCGTATTATAATGCTCTGATTCCAAATTTGAAATTAGAATCTGCCTAGCTCGTCTGGATTTTAAGATATGCATGCATTCAAGAAATTTATATAATATAAATTATAATATTGAAAAAATATTGATTGCAAAGCATATGCGTTGCTCAATTTGTCTGGATCTAGCTTTATTGGTTTGGAAAAAAATTATTATAAATTATAGAAGTTATACAGTAATATAGACCAAATTTTTAAAAAATTAACTAGCTTTAGTAATTTTTGACCTATGACAAAAAAAAAAAAATGAAAATGAGTTCGAAAAAATGTTGGAAACAAAAAGTGTTTTTTATATTGTGCATCGCCACAATGACAAATGGAGCCCTGAGAGGCCATATTAACTGCAAAATGACACCTGTTCCGAACTGATGTAAACAGTCTCATCTTGATGTTAGTTTAACAATACCTGTTGAGAGGAGACTGTTCATTGACACCAGCAAGGGAAGCTTGAAAACTATATTGTTGAACAATGGTATAAAAAATTTATATGTTCCTTTAACTCACACTGGCCTCAAAAAGACAAATGACTCAATGAAACACATTTTGAAAGTGATCAACAGTTCAGAAAATTCAATGCAAACATCTGTGCTGACCTAAAAGTGGAAGATCTTCTAGGATTTCATCTGGGCTACACAAAACATTTGTGCTTTTTTTTACTTGTGGAACAGTCCTGATGACAGCAACCATTGCAACAGTGCCCTCCTAGATCTGAGCACATTATTGGGGCTGCATAACATTAAACACAAATTTTTGTTTCACCAATTGCAAGTGTACTTACCACCACTTCACATCAACTCTAAAAGAATGTTATGTTGGCTTTTCATTCACTCATGATCGATGGAAAGGAAAATGATTTTTTCTCCCCACCTTTATATTTTCCAAAGTTATTTTTAACATGGATCTATAATTTCAAATATCAATTTAGTTAAAAACACTGATGTGCCTAGTTGATTGGGTTGTGAAAAAAATTAGTATATAAATTGGAAAAAATAAAAATAATGTAGTCAATGTGGTTAGTAGAAGAAAAAAAAACTGTCTGAGCCTAATTCTTCCATTTTAATGAAATTTCCAGTAATGTTAGGCTAACAGACATTTTCCTTTTAATCTGAGGAAAACAAAATGCATGTGTTCAATAATTAAAAGATCTTATAGCTTTAGTCTTTTTGGATTCACTGTAGAATCAAGCATGAATTGGCAAACTTTGTCGACAATGTTTCTGCTTCAGCAATATGATGATTATAACTTAGCATGCTGCAATGGTTCCTTACAGTTATGAAATAGTGTGCAATATCTTTATTTGATTTATAAAATAGAGAGAAATTCTTGAACTTATTGTGCTTCCATTGTTAAATACATAAGTATTTCTGGCACAGGTTATAATCTCCAATGTTCTTAATAATAGAGAAAAAAATGGCAGAAAACCAAGATAATTTGAGTTTAAACTGAGCTTCGTAAAAAAAATTTGTAGTAGCAATGGATTTTAATCAATAAGGTTTTCAGAATATTAAAGAGAAATTTGGAGCAATCAAAACTGATGCATAGCTAAAAAGATTTAATGGGGCCAGAATTCTGCAACCTGATGCGGGATAATTAGAACTAAGCTTAGCTTCAACTTTCCGCCTGGGATGCATGCATGTTGGTGGTGCAAAACTTTTTTTATGAATCACTAAGCTCAGAACGATGCTAACAGCCTACAAGCAATTCGGCTCCTGATGTCTGGAAATGTATTTGTTACATTCTCATCAGAATTTTTTACCACCACACTTGGTTGTTAAAAGCGATGAGCATGGAGATAGTTTTCATGAGGTCTTTACCTTGGAAACACAGTGTTAATGCCACTGCAATTTATACATGAGGGATGATTACTTCTGGTTTCAGCAGGCAACAGCAGCCACACACAAGCACAAGAGCAAGTGCCTGAAGCACTTTTGAACTCTTATAGTTAAGCTGTAGCTGAAATTTTGAAATGTATATAACGTATGCTGTCATCTGAGTTACATATATATATAATTTATTTTAGATTTTAAAACTTTATCCTAAGATTATTTTTCTTAAATATTATTGTATGACTTTAATAGATTTTGGTATGTTTTTATTAAGACTTTCTATGGACTTTTTTTAAATTGAAGAAATCCAACATAAAATTTCTTATTGGAAATATGTTATTTTTAACAAATTCAATTTCAAGTTTTTAAAGAATAAATAACATATTTATTTAATGCCTAATCTGGGTATACTCACACAGTTATTTAAACAAATACTAGCTCTACTCTGTAATTTGTTTGCATAATAATAAAAATAATTTTAACATGAAGCTGCATAACTTAAAATCCTGATGTGCTACACAATATCTGACTTCAGATTTGGAATCAGTACACTCGATGTAGTATAAATCAAATGACATATGTTCAGTAACAGACAAAAAAAGTGTGGTTTTTTTGTTGTCCAGTGTATTTAACAATCACAAGCACAATTTAAGAGCAGGTGTAGCCCCCCAATAAAAATTAGGAAAGAGACTATTAACCTTCTTTTTCCCATTTTTGATTCAATTAAGACCTTACCTCTATGGACCAACAAGTCAAGGTGAAAGACTGCAAATTTTACAAAACTTTCAACACAACCCAAAAGTGAATACAATATTTGTATCAAAGGTAAATTTATTTTACTAAACATAAATCGTAGGGATTTTGTTTTTTTATGCAAAAAAAAACTATGAAGAATACCTGAAATAAGTTGATAATACAAGAAAATCAAATTACCCATCAAAATATAGTTCATAATTATTTCTAATTATCAAAAAGTGTATAGTGGGGACTCTCACAAGTGCCCCCAACATAAAGAATATACAAAATACAAATTATATAATTGTTGATAAATAATTATGAATGTGAATGTTTTAAAAGTGAGACACTTTAGAATATTTTAAAAACCTATTGATTTTATAGTTTAATCCCAACAGGTGTTTTCTTAATGGTAGCATTAATCTCATAATCAAGGGGTAGGAGGTACAAGTGTGGTTAACTCATCTGTGGGCTTATTATAACCAAGGAAAATGGATTCATTTATCCAGCAGGGCAGTTAAGCTTTGGGAGGAGGAAATACTTGATAAAATTAAAATTATTTTTAAAAATTCCTATTTATGGCATAAACAGACTTATTATGGATGACAGCAAAAGCAAAAATAGTACAGTAATCAGCCATCTTAGTACAAAATACTGGTATCAACTGCTGTTGGGAAAAAATAGAAAGAAAAAAAACAAAAATGTATCATAATTTCAGTGTACTTTCAACTTAATTTGTCTCTAGGTGGCTGATACTTCCTTTGATCTGCCAGAAGCCAATGTTCTCATTCAGATTTCTGCACATGGAGGCTCCAGGAGACAAGAAGCTCAGCGATTGGGAAGAATTCTCAGAGCCAAGAAAGGTATTGCTTTTTTTTTTCTCGTTAAAACAGCTGGGTAAAAAAGAGTGTATAAATTTTATCAATATCATTATTGATTTTAAACAAATTGCACTTGGACTTCTTTTCTTAACGGTTAGTTGTTCTACTACTGTGAAATCATGCAGTTAGCTGGGGATAGCAATCAGGATTTCTGGTAATGTTATACAAGGGAGCATGTGCTCCAAATGAATACAGTTGTGAAAAAGAATTAGATTTATTGCAATGATTTCATCTTAAAATTTATTACATTCTTTACATACCAGTACAAAAAAAAAATTTTTTTAAAGTTACATTACAATGATAAAAACGAAGAAATGTAGTTTTATGGTTACTCTAGATGTTGTTTTTAAAAAAACTCATTTATATAGTCAATATTTATGTTCTTATTCTATAAAGTAAGGGCCCACGATTAATGTATTGATCATTCTGGCTCCTATATTGTATTTTTCATATCAATTTATAATTTTTTATTTATTTTTCAAGAAAGGCTGAAGCTCAGTTCTCAATTTAATTCTATCAAGGATTTTTCAGTGTTGTTAACTATCGTACTTACCCTTTTATCATTTCCACTCTGCAGGATCAGCAGCTGAGGAGTACAACGCATATTTCTACTCTCTTGTTTCTCAAGACACTAATGAGATGGCATTTTCCTTGAAACGTCAGCGGTTTCTTGTTAACCAAGGTTACAGTTACAAAGTGATTACAAAGTTGGAAGGAATGGATCAGGTAACAAAAAAATTTTGAAGTTAGCAACTATTTTATTTTAACTCTGAAATGTAAAGTGGGGAAAGTGTAATATTTTGAATTGTTAAATAAAATGGATGATGGGTGGACAAGTGGTCTAAACTGAGTCAATCTCAAGTATGTGGTCTGAAGCTGAATCCCCACCAAAGCCCAGTCAAGTCATACAAAAACATCACCAGCACCCGGGGTGGATGGGACTCGTTAACCTTGGATGGCAACTCATCTAAGAGAAGGACACTCATGACATTGACACAATGAAACATTCTGACAACTTCTGTGACGCCGCTGGTGCCAGCTGTATCATCCACATAATGTTCCCTTGGGTTATCCAGCAGCATGGAGAGAAGCGATTTGCTGTGTGGGGAACCAGCTTATAATCCTAAAAAAAAAGAATGATCTCAGGCGTTGTGGATTTCATTATTGAGACGGATGGATTCCAGCATAAAATGGAAATCCTTTTTTCCAGTATATATATCATACTATATGACTTAACACTTATGTGATCTTTTTATGCACAATCCCCCAATATCACTAGTTACAATCTGCCGTGCTGTTAAAAATGAACAAGAGTTTATTTTTGCTGTATTTCAAAGAGTGATAATGTACTAGTAGTAGAAAATCATGTGATTCATTATGTGATCATAAAAGCTATGTCGAACCTTGTATGATCTTAACAATCTTTTGACTTTATTCTTTTAATGGGCCAAAATAATTTAACTTAGATTTGGGAAAGGTGATGACAGCGTAAATATAAAAAAGTTACAGGTAGTCTTATGGGATGACCCCAAAAAACACAGGGGGAGGTGACCTTTTCTAGAATTGAGGTCCTGAAATGTTTGAAGTTTATTTAAATGAAAATTTGATATTGTAAAAGGTTTACATTCTTGCGTTGGTGACTTTAATAAAAATGCTATTTAATACTTTTAGGAAGACTTGTTCTACCGTTCCAAGGAGGAACAAGTTCAACTTCTACAAAAAGTGCTTGCCGCAACAGATGAAGATGCAGAAGAAGAAAGAATGCTCGGAGAATTCCCAGGAAAATTTTCGGTAGGTTTAAATATTGGTGTTTTTTTTTAAAGATTAAAAAATATGTAACATTTCTTATAGTAATGATTCTTTATTTTATATCAGACGTTATGCAAAACCCTTATAACAATTGTAGCTCCTAGCAGAAAGTGCAGGTCCCATCGAAAAGGAACAATCCATTCATAGATTTATTACAGTCATCTATATTCCTCTCTGTACCATAACCACAAATATCTATAGGGGATATGCTGACAAACTTGGAATATAGTCTCCAGTTATTCCACTCCTATTATCAAAAAGCTTCTAACCACTAAGGTAGTTTGGGTGGGCACGTTTACTATTTAAACAGGGCAAGCCTTTAACCTTGGAAACTTTGTAACCTCCTTTAGATAATATGTCATGTCTATTTCTTTCCAGATCAATCGTAAAGTGGGGAGCATGAATTCCTTATCTGGAGCAGATGACGCTATTTATATGGAATATTCTGGCAGAGGACGCAGCAGAAAAGCTGAACATGTTCATCCTTTGTTTAGAAAATTTAAGAAACCTTAACCTGTAAGTCTAATCTGATTTTTTTATGCTGTTCAATTGGGGTCAATTATTCAATTAACATGGAGATACATTCTGCAAAAAAGGATTTGTTGAAATATGTTCAAAAATTGCTTAGTCCTCCTAATTTAGGGCTCTCTGTAGGATGGCAGCAATCGCCTTAAAATACAATAAGTTTTTGTTTCTTACTTAAAATATTTTGTTGATACTTTACAAACTACAGTTCTGATTGCACCATCAGCAATTGTTTTAAGTAAACTATGGCATTCCTAGGCATTATTATGCTATTGTGCATGAGTACCATGGTTAACAAAACATTCTTTGGCATTCATTTCATTTGCATTTAAAAAAGGTGGGTTTTTTTTAAAAAGAAATTGTTTTTCCCATCTATAGTTTAATGTACTGTATCGTAACTCCACAAATTGTACCTGAAAGAAAGTTTTTAAAACAAATGGTGATAATGAGAGATTTGCAAGTGACAAGTAAGAAGTGTGACATGTACAATTCAATCCAATTGAAAATGGACATGATTGTTTTGTACAAAATTTAAAATCAAGATATTGTCTGTTTTCCTGCAACATTAAATATGTGTACATATTTTTCACTTTTCGTACAAATAAAATAATTTCAAAAAGTTCATGTTGCTCATTACCTGCTTTGTTTTTATGTATTTTCCCAACTATGGTTTATGACTAAATGGAGCGGCATTGTTTCAAAGAGTCATTTTCATGCTGCTCTGGAATCTGTTGAATTTCCCTTGTGTTTCACTAGATGTATTGGCTACTGTTTCGCCACGTAATACCAAATTGTTTTTTTGTTTTTTTTTAATGAAGACAAAAATAGCTTTAGCAGCATATACGATTTAATGATATATTTAATTAAGTATCTTTAAATTGTCGATAAACTCATTCCCACTTTATTCATTGATGATATTGAAGAAGATCATTGCTAAGTTATAAAAGTATGCTACTGTGTTAATTTTAAATTAAATTTTGCAACAGTTGAAAATATTTTAAACAAATCTGAAAAATTGAACTTTTTATTTTAATTCACTTACACATTATCATAAAACATAGGTTTAAATTTAACCTCAAACATATTTGAATCCAATTTGAATAAACAAACCAATCCTATACAAAAAATGTGTTTTACTAAGCAGTGTGTATTAATGAAGGACTATTGTATTAAATAAGGGTTGTGTGGGAATAATCTTGGATGATTGTAATCTTTTTTAAACTTGTCTCATACATAGTCAAATCCGATATGCTTATATTCAAAACGGCTTTCAAAAAACACTGGAATATTGGCCCTATGTGCACAGATCCCTGTAATATATACGTCTTCAAGCCAGAATAATTTTGTTCTTAGGGATACCTTATACAGCACGTCTGCTGTTGCTATGGGGAAACCATAAGCCGGGCCGTGTGCAAATATTGGGAAAAACTCGGGGCCATATTCCGAGTAAGACGTGTAATATTTGGAGATATTCTGTCGTAATGGCCCTTCAACAAGATACTTGCTGTTGCCCAATATAAAGTGCTTATATTGCGCCGACTTGTTACGCAGCAAGTTTAAAATCGTAAGCGGTTCAAGTCCGACGTCGTCATCTTTCTTCAGGAGAAACTTGCTGTGAGAGCAGTTTGCCGTGGCCCACTTCAGCAGGGCGACAGACTTCAGGCTGAGGTTCCTCGGGGTGTCGACAATCGTCGTTTGCACCACATCGCCATGGGCGTGGGCCTCCTCGTCCAGTCGCCGTTGTAAGGCTTCTCCGGCCACCGAACCGATTACGAAAACGCAAACGATCCCGTGGTCTCTTTGGCAGAGTCGTCTCCCCTTCGTTCGCTGGTCGAAGTGACTCGGCGCCGAGACGACGCCGACTAGAAGGTCGACGGACACGTTGACGCAAACCTTGTCCGGATTGTGGACGTAGCTGTAGTGGTGGGGATTTATGATCGCGTCTTTCAAGAACTCGTCCGAAGGTTCGTCTGCTGGCGATAACAGACCCGCCAGCCGGAGTTCTATCCCACCGTCTGCGCGAACACGCAATGCTTTCACGGTGTCCAGGCGTGGTTGTAAAAGTAACTTTAATATAGTGACGTAGTTAAGTGCTGCCAGTGCCAGTATTAAAAGAGATGCGACCTTAAGATGAAAACGAATTCTATTCATCGGTTTTTACTTGGTTAATTAGAATCTTGTTGGATATTGGTTCAATTCAAATTTCTGCACGTGGTCTTTAATTTAAATTACATACGACACAATCCTGAAAAATGCGATTATGACGTGGCCTTGGTTGATGGTCTGACTGAGTGGTGACTGGTGGTAGAATCGACAGATAGTGAAGCTCGCAGACTGCGCCAATGCATTTGGTATATTTATTGTATTTGAGCCTGCCACGATAGGGAATTACCAAAGATTGAAATTAAAAGGTGCGACGTTTGAAAATGTTTCATTGTCTATTTTTATGAATTTGAACATATCGTGGTAGGGTTTAAACAGAAGTTACCGAGGGCGGGCTAAGACACTGCACGTGCTGCGGGACACACTTGCCAAGGCAAAAAACAAACCCAAAAACTTGAGTACTGAATAAAAATTCGTTTTTACTTGTTTGTTATAGTAATCTATTAAGTCACCTTACCTGTAGTGATAAGAAAAAACATTTAACTCTAATCTACTTTTTGTACAGTCGTTGTAGACTATATGGTAATATTATGTATATATTAATCGGTTTCTCAAGCTTGATAGCAGTTGCGCTCTTTAGTCATTGTCCTAGGCGTCATAAGTAGCCAACTCAGTAGCCTACACCTCTGTGTGTTAAGTATATTTCACCATCCAGATTCAAATCATAAACTAAAATTTGAAGATATGTGGTGTGGGTTTTTTTTTCATTTCTGGGGTGTTTCGAGACTAACAAAAAAGGGTACTACTTGCCTGACGCAAACTAAACTGTCACCCCATTAGTGTTGTAATAACTTATCATAATTAGTCGGCATAAGCCCTACAGGGCGCAAAACGACACAAGGTGTGGGGGCGTCGGCCTCGTCCCTAAACCGTGGGGGGGGGGGGGGGGGGGGGCAAAATCGTTTCTACACCAGACAAAAATTGTAATTGAGGCGGCAAAGTTATTCAACAAATTCGTGTCAATCTGCCTGTCACAGGATGACCGTGCCCGCTACGCCATGGTGAAAATACTTTTAACAGGTCTACAGATCGTGGGAGAGTCAGGCAGGCCATGGACGGTGATCCCCCGCAGGCTATCGTCACGTGGAGGAGACATAGTGGTATCTCAGCCTCCACAGTGATATGTATATGTTGTCTTTGAATTGAGTGAGCATGCCTTGCAACGAAGTTTGTTGTAGTAAGATGTCAGAGTTTAATTCTAACCCGTAGAGACGTTGGCAACTGAGAGGCGTCATGGGGGGGAAGTTAGTGAAGAAACACTTGGCTATAATAATTATCTGCTGTGGTTATTTTGATTTACATTGCGAATTGTTCATAGTGTCTTATATTGTATTTCACTTGGAACATCAAGATAAGGTGGTGTCAAAAAAATTGTAGAGATTTAGAGAAAGATCACCTCAGCATTAGAATTAGATAGCTCGTGACATACACTACACATGGTTACAAGTTGAAGATTATCTGGTACATAATTTATTCTCTTGGGGAAATGTACTGACATTTCAAAAAGCGGGAGTGGGGGATGTTAGACGGGACAGGGGTGGCATTAAACCTCTTTAGGTATTAAGGTTGGGAGTAGTCAGAACTGGGGTGGCATTAAACCACTTCTTTAGGTGTTCAGGTTGGGAGTAGACGGGACAGGGATGGCATTAAACCTTTCTAGGTGTTCAAGTTGCATGGAAGTGGGCAATGTTAGACGGGACAGGAGTGGCATTAAACCTCTTTTGGTATTCAGGTTGGACGTGGGCAATGTTAGACGGGACAGGAGTGGCATTAAACCTCTTTTGGTGTTCAGGTTGGACGTGGGCAATGTTAGACGGGACAGGAGTGGCATTAAACCTCTTTTGGTGTTCAGGTTGGACGTGGGCAATGTTAGACGGGACAGGAGTGGCATTAAACCTCTTTTGGTGTTCAGGTTGGACGTGGGCAATGTTAGACGGGACAGGAGTGGCATTAAACCTCTTTTGGTGTTCAGGTTGGACGTGGGCAACGTTAGACGGGACAGGAGTGGCATTAAACCTCTTTTGGTGTTCAGGTTGGACGTGGGCAATGTTAGACGGGGCAGGAGTGGCATTAAACCTCTTTTGGTGTTCAGGTTGGACGTGGGCAATGTTAGACGGGGCAGGAGTGGCATTAAACCTCTTTTGGTGTTCTGGTTGGACGTGGGCAATGTTAGACGGGACAGGAGTGGCATTATACCTCTTTTGGTGTTCTGGTTGGACGTGGACCAAGAATTTTGGGAAACACTGGTGTAAACGTTACGTTTTTCAATGCCATATAGTTTTAGCTACGTCAGTAGTCGAGTCAAAGTAAATCGGCAGAGCTAGGCTAGATATCCCGAACATCTGGGGGTGCACAATCTGCAATATGAAAAACTTCAGCAATTTCTCCGGTGGTGCGCTGGTTCTGCAGGGGTGCACATTATTTACCCTTTTTCGCAAAAAATGTCATGCTATATTCAATTGGCGTTCGATTTTTCCGATTTGCCTTTAGATTTCGTCTTCTTCCAATTTTAGTATGTTCTTGTATGCTCTAGAGAACGGATTGATATCTCCAAGAAGTTTTTGAAGGTTCTCCATTTATGACACAAATGCATCCATTGTTTACTTTATGGTTCATTATGTTTATCAAGGCTTGGGCCGAATCCAAAAATGTACAGTTGGTCATACTTTGGTGAGTAACCTTGACTTATGATTAATGCAGATGTAGCGTTGTAAATTCGCCCATGGATTCTGTAACAAAAAAGCCTGATTACGTCTGATTACTTGTAGCAGAGCCGTTCTTAGGAGTTTGGGGGCCCTAAGCATGGAGCGTAGATTGGGGGCCCCGGAAGGGGGGGTCCAGAGGTGGAGCTCCCTCGAGTTGAGGAGAAAACACCACCCACCACTGCGGCACCTCCGTTCTGCCTTCATCAATGTTTCCTCTTTCCCATTCCCACGGCCAAGCCCCCGATTCCCTGTCTGCCACCCCCAAAGCTCCCCCCTGCTGCTTCCCTTCCCCTGCCTCCAAATTCAACTCAGAATGATAAATTTCAGGATGAGGAAGGTAACGTGAGTGACACAGACGGCTGCAGTGCCAGTTTAAAAAAAAAAAAACGGGGGATTGAGGGCGCCTCACGGGGGCCCCTTCACGTTCGGGGCCCTACGCGGATGTGTAGTCGGTGTATTCCTAAGAACTGGCCTGCTTGTAGGTTAATTTGTGCGACAATTGAGGCAAAGGCAATTTCACCGTTGTAGGATCTCATTTTTTCCATGAAATTGTTGGAATTAGGATCAGATCTATTCATGTAATTTTAATTAAGTGATGCATTCCTATTTCTTCTAATTTAATGGTTCTTTTGTGGCATCATTTTGACACTAATGCATGTTTGAAATGCTTGGCATTGCAACATGAACATTACGCATCCATTGGGCCAACAATAACTTGCTTTAATTTTGTCTTCATTGAAATTTTCGGAAATCAAAAATGCGGTTCCACCACTCTTCGCCTTTTAGCGTCTGTCTCGCGTTTTGTTGCAGTTGATTTTCTGTTTGCTCTGCTTTGCCGATGACTTATAACATTAGCTTCACATTCTGGTTGGAGCGGCTCTTCTATCAAGGCCACTTTACGGTGTCTTTGAGCTTCAGCGTTATTTTATTTATTTATTATTATTATTATTATCTTTTTTTTTTTGCGACAATTTCTATAGCATTTGGTGGATGTCGGAGGGATATTCATTTTAAAAAAAAATTTTTAAAAAAACTAACCTCACTTTAAAAAAATGTTTAACAAAATGTTACAAACTCCAATTCGCATGGGCAGTTCGATGGCTCGGTTTTAGTTTAAGGCCTGTAAGTGGTTACAAACTCTCGTCTCAATTAAAAGCAATCATTATCATCAACGTCAAGTTTAAAACTTAGTTTGATTCTCTCTTAACAACGCCACTCTCCTTCATACAACTCTCTCCCTGCATACCAAATGGAATGATGATAAGACTGAGCTGCTCCCATCGCGACCGCTCAGAAGCAAAAATCTGCAAATAACACGACATCAATAAATAATTACTCTCTCAGGTGTGCGTATTGAGTTAGCTCAAACAGTGCGGTACCTGGGTGTCTACCTAGATCGAAGACTAACCTTGGAAAGTCACATTAACATGGAAAGTCACATTAACATGGAAAGTCACATTAACATGGAAAGTCACATTAACATGGAAAGTCACATTAACATGGAAAGTCACATTAACATGGAAAGTCACATTAACATGCTGTGCAAGGCGATTTTTCTAGAGCTGCGCAGGATTAGTCACATCAGGCCCTTCCTAACAATTGATGCAACAAAGAGGCTGATGTCTGCATTTGTGCTATCACGCATGGACTATTGAAATGCTCTCATGGTGGGTCTTCCAGCTACGCTCCTGGGTAAAATTCAAATAGCATTGTTCTTTGCAAACGTAAGTTCGACCATGCTAAAACACTTCTGAGAGAGTTGATTTGGCTGCCGGTCCGTGTTCGCATTGAGTACAAAATCGCAACTTTGTGCTACCGCTGCTTACATAACCTGGCGCCGTCCTATCTGAAAGAGCTGCTAACGCCTTATGTACCCACTAGACAACTCCACTCATCCGATAGTGGCAAACTCTCGACACCACGTGTTCGCCTTGAGACTTACGGAAAGCGCACTTTCGCATTTGCTGGTCCAACAATTTGGAACGCCCTTCTAGTCGATCTCAGAAACAACCAGACATTGGAGTCCTTTAAAACCGACTTAAAGACACATCTATTTCGCAAACACCTTCTGGGATGATTGTC